GAAACACAAGTACTCCATGGATGGTTAGAACTTTCCAAGGGAGAAGCTGAAAGATATCTAGGGATGTTAGTTGATTTGTCTTGCGTTATGCAGGATGTTGAGCTATATTGCTAAATCAGTTGAGTTTAGGTCCCCAGATGTCATACTCGGGCTGTTTCATGCCTGGTCAGACTGCCATTTGAATCCTGCATACAGTTCTGGTCACCACAACATAATGGGGTTCCCAAGCCCTAGAGGTGATCCAGAGGAGAGCAACAAGGATGATCCCAATGTTAGAGGAATGAGCTATGTGCACCGACTAGACAAGCTAGGGCTCTTCAATCTTAACAACTCAGAGGGGACCTCATAAAGGTATACCAAATTTGAAATGGGATTGAAAAAGTAAACACAGATTAGTATTTGATGATGTATTAATAAAGGAGAACACAAGGACATAGGTTTAGAGTTGTAAAGGCAATTTCAAGGCAGATACCAGGACGGTTTTCTTTATGCAGAGAGTAATCAACAATTGGAACAGACTGCCAGGAAAGATAGTAGTAGCCAGAACACTAGACATTTAAAAAGCAGCATGATAGAGTGATGAGCAGACAGTAAAGTGGGTGTACTGGAAGGATTAGATCAGATGGACCTTCTTCATCCAGACCAATCTTGTGATCTTGTTTGTTCCCATTTCACCTCCTTTCCTTCATACCCCTTTATATTTTTCCTTTTGAAAGCTTAAGTATAGAGAACTAAAATGTTGAACTGACAGAAAGATACATTGACTGATGACTGATGTAACTATTGTGCTAATATATATTTTAATCACACAATTTAAGAGCAACCAAATGAAGTACAAACTCGGTGATCAAATTAGCCCAGGGGCCTTTTATTTCCTAGGTGACTTCTGACAAATTGAAACCATTGCTATCAGACTTCATTACATTACAATGTGACTGTATTGTCTGAAGACCGGTGATTAAGATGTCACAAAGGGATGCAGTCGAGATGTATCATAATGGCTTGTGCTCATATGACACGTGAGACAAACTGATTTGCCGTATGCATAGGATAATTCGTCCACAGAATTTTCCAAATTCTGGTCACTCTGAAAATGCTACATGAATAGAGTAAATCTAGACTCAGGTGGAATTTTTCTCTTTCTATGGCTAAACAACTGATCCCTTAGAAAGGTTTGTGCCAGGAGTTGCTGATATGAAGAGGAGCTTGCTAAGGGTAAGGCAGTGGATGTTGTATATCTGGAACACAGAGGGTGGTGGTACAGGGAATGTCATCAGGCTGGGAGGTTGTTACCAGTGGAATTCTCTTTTATTTAACATATTTATAAATGATCTGGAGCTAGGAGTCACAAGCACAGTGACTTAATTTGCAGATGGCGCAAAGCTAATGAAGGTGGTAGACTGCATAGATGAACAGGATAGGTTACAGGAGGACTTGAACATACTTGGGAATTGGGCAGATCGATGGCAGATGAAATTCAATGTAGAGAAATGCAAAATGTTTCAAATTGGGAGAAAACATCCAGGAAGGGGACTATCATTTAAATGGAAAGAAAATAATCTGTCCTGAAATGAAAAGGACCTGGGGTTCTGAGTGACAATAAATTGAAGCTCTTCAACAGTGCTCGGGAGCAGTGAGTAAGGCAAACCAGATGCTGGGTTATATTAAAAAAGCAATATTAAGCCAAAATAGTGAGGTCATCCTACCACTTTATAAATCATTGATGCGACCGAACTTGGAAAACTGGGTGCAGTTCTGCTCACCACAATACAAAAAGGATATTGCCGTGATTGAGAGGATACAGAGGAGGGCAACCAAAATGATTGAGAGGATGGATGGACTGGATTATGTGGAGCAGTTAGGTAAACTGGGCATGTTAACTCTGGAGAAGAGAAGGTTGAGGGGCGATGAGATTATAGTCTTTAAGATTCTAAAGGGACTGGATAATATAGACCATGATATGCTCTTTTATCTTGTACTGAACAGTCGAACCAGAGGACACAGCCTGCGATTGAAGGGGGGTAAATTCAGAACAAATCTGCGGAAACATTACTCAGTGAGTGACTAGTAAATGTATGGAACAGGCTCCCTAGTGGGATGGTGGAAGTGTTGATTCTTTCAAGAACAAATTAGATAGATTTCTGTTAGGCATTAATGTTTCGGCATACAATATATAGTTTGGCAGATTTACCAGGATGGTACCAGGAATGAGGGACTTCAGTTATCAGGAGAGAATAGAGAAGTTAGGATTATTCTCCTTGGAGCAGAGATGGTTAAGAGGAGACTAAATAGAAGTTTTCAAAATTATGAGGGGATTCGATAGGGTGAACAAGGAAAAACTATTTCCACTGGCGAATGGGTCGGTAACTCGAGGACACTGATTTAAAATAGTTGTTAAAAGAAGCAGAGGGGAGGTGAAATGTTTTCACACAGTGAGTTGTTCGGATCTGGAATTCATTGCCTGTAAGGGTGGTGGAAGCTGACTCGATAACAACACTTAAGAGAGAAGTAGATAATTATTTGGGGAGGACAAGTTTGCAGGGCTATGATGAGAGATCGGGGAAGCGGGACTGATTTGGGTAGCTCTTTTCAAAGAGACTGCACAGATGACACGATGGGCCGAATGGCCTCCTTCTGTGCTGTGTAATTCTATGATTCTATGGTTATTTTGCCTAGCAAATTCTTACATTCTAATGAAAATAAACCAGGGTTGAAAAGGCACTCCTCAGGGAAGTTGGTTGTAATACTGATGACTTCCCACAGGAAAAAGGGCAACACAATGCAAATCCAAATACGACGACTCACAAAACCATGGAGTTGAGATCTCATGACTCACTGTGACTTACATGGGATTCACTAGAGCAAAAACTATTTTATTCAAACATGGTCAAGAAGTTTGTTTAAAAAAAAAGAACGCTAGTTATCAGGATATTTCTGAAAAAATGTTTGGATTCTGCTTGCATCTATCAGATGATAACACACTGTCATACCTGCATGCCACCTGAGCTGAGCTCTGTTGTGATTGATCCCACATTTCGCCCACAAAATGCACCTTAAAGTATTTCCTGTGATGCGCTTTGAGACGCCTTGACAACATGATAAGGCACTATATCAAATGCAAGGATAATTATTATTATTATCTTTTCACAATGACATTATTGAGTGTAATTTTAGTTCACGAAAACAGGGAATCAATCAACAGTGCAAGAAGGCATGATTTTCTTTCACATCCTGTATTACTTTTCAAATGAGTTGCTGGTGCTAGGACTCTGAAGATCAGCAGTCCATTGTGCACTTGTCTGTAATGCTATACCCAACCCTTTATCCATTTAACATGCAAGTCAGATAATCCCAGTGAAATAATGAAATTTTGTGTCACAAGTTGCCTTTTTCTAAATCTTCTGGCTCACTGCCTTAACCAAGGCAGGGGGTTCATATCAAGTATGAAGGCAACAACACAGAATCTGTATTCTCCTGCCACCCTGATCCCATTCACAGACTCGGGCTAGAAATTCTCCCTTGTAAAGTACTCTAGATTAACATCTCGTTATCATGCACAAATCTACTATTACACAGTAAGGTACATATCAAGAACTGAAAATTGCACCACAGTATGTTAGATGTGAAGTAATTGTATTGAATATATGATAAATTACACCTCTACAGTTTATTTAGAAGTGTAACAGTCAACAACAACAACTTGCACTTATTTCACACAGTAAACTGTCTTAAAGTGCTTCACAGAGGTGTAATGGGAGCCCATGCAGGGTGAGAGAGGAAGGGATAGAAGTGAGGTGCCAAACGCACAGTCAAAGAGATGGGATTTCAAAGCATAGGAAGAGGCTGGCGAGGATGGGCTAACAGGCTCAAAGAGTCTAATATGGGAAAGGCTGCAGAGCTCTGGATAATCTGTGGCTTGTGGAGAGTTGACCTGGGAAGGCTGGCAAGTAGAACATAAGAAAAGTCAGGGGTTGAGGTAACAAAAGAGGTAACATGAGGATCTCTGCTATGTAGGGAGTGAGGTGGGGACGCAGGCAAGCAAAGTTGTTGAGATGGACAGCGGAGACTTGGTCAAGGATCAGATGAAAGGCTTAAAAGGAGAAGTGAGAGTCAAACAAACCACAAACATTTCGTATTTGTTTCATAAGCTGTAATGAGCAGCCAGGGAGGTTGATAGTCAGGGTCACAGGTGGTGATGAACTGATGAGAGCTTCAGTTCTGTCTGTGAGGGTGACCACAGAAGTGTGTCAGGATACTGCTGGGAGTCTAACCAGCTAAAACAGCATAGACTGCCATTGATATTGCTGTCTGGCAAGGACCATCCTACCCATTAGGGATTTAGTTTGCAGGGTAAACAGGAGCTAAGTGGGATGACTCCCTGCCCCCAGTGACTAGTCTGCTCTTTCAGGTCTGATGATGAGCCAGGCTGGTTGTGCTATCATCAGCAGAGCCCTGGAATATTGCTGACCTGCCTGGCTCAGGAACCAGACTACCGAGACCGCCACAGATGGCTGGCTCGATTTTGACATTTCGTTGCCAAACATGTCACCTTGGGGCCAGTTCAGCCCCAAGTTGATCCTGCTTATCTTCCCCCAAGGAGGATAATCACTGGTTGATCACGTCACTAGTGCAATATAGAGGGCAATGTTATTTAGTCCATAGTTTATTATATAGAGAACACTGTAATTTAATCCAGTTTATTATATAGAGAGCAGAATCATTTAATCCACAGTTAAATACAGTCTTCATTTGGAAGCTTTTTTTTCTGTAATTCTTTTAACAATTTGACAAATTACGCATGCTCCGGAATGTTATGTTAATAGAGTAGATCTAGACCCTGGTGGAATTTCTTCCCGCCACCCCCCAATCTTTTATTGAGTATTTTCTAAACTTAAAAAAGGCTATGAAATGATGAGCAAACCTCAGACTCATACAGTAAAAAAACAGCAAATGTTATAAATTTGTTATCACATTCTCACCCTGAACTTGATTTACTGCAGAAACCACAGCTCATCACAGGAGGACAAACACTGTGCCATTTTCTAAAGAAATACTGTCCTGTGGTAACAGAGACTTATTATCCAACCTTTTGGTGCTCAGAAGGAAGGATGCAAACCCTGCTGAGGCCATTCATCACATCGAAACCCTCAATGGAGTACAGGAAGTATGGTTCTTTTGCTGTTTATTGTTCCATTAGTACCATAGTACTATATATTCAGAAATTGGCTCTACTGTTAGCAGAGGAACAAACATTTTAAATTGTTATTTCTAATAAATGTTTTTGCAGTATTACAGTAGATGATGGTAAGGATTCCAATTCTTTTGTCAAATTCAGCCATATCAACTCTTCACACAAGGTTCTCACATTCTAGAACATTTTACACCCAGGCATAATGTTTAAATGTAAAATAGCTAGTAATAGATGTAGTGGGGAGTTTGGAGGACCATTTCATATGCAGAGGGTGGTGAGAATGTGGAACTCATTGACGGAAGCTGTGGTTGAAGTGAAAAGCATTAATACATTTAAGAGAAAACTTGATGCATACGTTAGGGAGAAATGAATAGAGAGGTCCTGTGGAATAGAAGAGGTGGGGGCTCATGAGTATAAACATGGGCACAAACCAGTTGAGCCAAATAGCCTGTTTCCAAGTTGTATAATTTGATGTAATTCTATCCCAATACAGGACTGAGATTCAAACAAAATAGTTTTCTGCTTTTCAGATGTCTTACACAGGATCAATTAGAATACTATTTTTCAGAGTTTCTGGTTTCACTCTAGTCTGAAATGCTGAACAAATGATTGAATGGTGTGTTGGTTGGAGAACAATTGGAAAACTGCCTATTTTTTATCTGTATTTCATAGAAATTCTGGTCTATCCGTAATCCTGATCCAAAGCCAAAGCGTAAAATATTTCTTGGCAAACTAATTATGAATTACACATGATCACATAGAACCTCAGTGTGCCAGCAAACAACCATAGCATAAATTGATGGGATTTTAAATGAGTAGATGTGGTTGCAGAGGTATACAATTGTATGTATATTGAGCATGTGCTTTTTAATTTTCTACATGTATCTGTATTATAGTGAGCTCATTAAGACGGCAGATGGTGGGCAGATTTCCTTGGACTGGATTGACAATGATGGAAATTTACTGCATCCTGTTTCTGCTACAAGACCTATTGTCCTTATCTTACCTGGACTTACGGGAACAAGCAAGGAATCCTACATATTGCACATGGTCAAAGAGAGTCAAAGTCAAGGATACAGGTAATGTGCACACTTTTATATTTTAACCAAATTTTATATGTTGAAAAAATCCTTCAATTTTATATAGCACTTAAACACCAAGAAGTCTTTGAGCCTCAAAAAGTTTCTGTATGTAAAGTGAATGGCCAATTTTATCTGAAAAATGTTGGCCAGAGATTGCAAGAAACTTTTTTTTGAGTAGTACCTTGGATTTTATCACCCACCTAAACAGGCACACAGTACCTTGGTTTAACATCTCATCCAAAGGTGATGACTCTGACAATGCAGTGCTCCCTTAACACTGCAATGGAGTGTCAGTTCAAAGCACCTTCATAAGGCTTCAACCCCTAACCTTCTGATTCAGAGGCAAGAGTGCTACCAACTGAGCCATGCTGACACCTTATTTTTTGGGGTTATCTTCTTTCTTTTCTTGTATTAGACCGAGGCTCTCCTGATTGGCTCCTGTCAGCGCCTCCTCACCTCAGGCACTAACAGCATCACCATCCATGGTTGCACACTCCACCTTGCTAAGCCAGTCCAGAACCTTGGGTCTTGTTTGACCCTCAACTATCTTTTCTACCCCAAATCTGCGCCATGACCCGCTCTGCTTTCCCCCACTTCCGCAACGTCACCCGACTCCGACACTGTTTTGCACCGCAAGCCGCCAGAACTCTCATAAATGCTTTCATTACATCGAGGCTCGACTATGAAACTCACTGCTTGTCGGCCTCCACAACTCCTCCCTCCACGGCTGCAGATCATCCAGAACTCTGCGGCCCATGTCCTCTCCCACACTAGGCTCCGCGACTTTGTCACCACCCCCATCCTTGCCCAACTCCACTGGCCTCCCATCACACAGAGGATACAGTTCAAGATTCTGGTCCTCACCTTCAAAGCCCTCCACGATCCTGCTCCCCCCACCTCTCCGATCTCCTAACCCCCTAAAACCCTGTTCACTCACTCTGCTCAGCAGGTTCCGGCCTGCTTCACGTCCCCCGCCTTGCTCGCCCCACCATTGGTGGGCGGGCCTTCCGCCACTCTGCACCCACCCTCTGGAACTCCATCACGCAGTCCCTCCGTCTCGCCCCATCCCTCACCACCTTCAAGACCCACCTCAAGACCCTGCTCTTTGACTGTGCTTTCGATCTCCCTGCTTCCCCCTGGCCTTCCACCCTCCCTCACACCGACCCCCAGCTTGGGTCCATAACTCTGTCTGTCCAGCACCTTGGTACGTCTTCCCAACGTGAAAGACGCTTTACAAATGTAATTTGGTTGTTGTTGTTTGTTGTAGAAATCAATTTCTTGACAAGAAAGTTCGCAGAATGCCTAGGATCTGATAAGTTCAGGTTCAAAAATATAGTTTGGACATTTTTATTACTCATCGAGTTGAGGGATGATGGCACTGGAAAATAGAACATATTTCCTTTTCAGTTATCCTGTGTTAGGATCAAATACTGTACTCGGGTAAAGCGTAGGTTAGATTTGGAGTAAAGCTCCCTCCCATCAATGTGCATCTGTTGCAAACCTCCTGTTCCTACTTCATGAAATCTTCCATTTCCCACACAGAGCCAACCCTGTGCGAGACAGGCACTTCAGCCAATTGTACTTTGTGTAATGTCTAATTATCCACATGGTTTATTGTCTCCTAATCCGACTAGTCCCAAATAATGTGGATGTTTTGTGTATCAGTTTGGCTCAATTGGTAGCACTCTTGCCTCTGAGACAGAAGATTATGAGTTCAAGTGCCAGGTCTAGGCTGACATTCCAATGTCGTGCTGGGGGTGCACTGTATTGTTGGAGGTGTCAAAATTTGGATGAGATTTTAACCAAGACTTTAAGCCTGCCTGTTCACATGGATGTTAAAGATCCCATGGCGCAACTCAAAAGAGAAGGGAGTTTCTCTCTATCAACAACAACAAATTGCAATTATATTGCACCTTTCACACCAGGAAGAGGTGCTAAGGCAATGGACCAACATTCCCTCAAATAAAATTTGTTATTCACTTCATAGCTGTTTGTGAGGCATTGCTGTGAACAAATTGGCTGCCACATCCACCTACAAAATATGCAGTCACTACACTTTAAGTAAATCATGTGAACCGCTTTGAGATGACCTCCTGATGTGAAAGATGTTATATCAAATAGAAGGATTATTAATATTACTAATTGGTTCTCTGTTGTATTTACCATCATGGCTTAAATCTTCACAAGTTGTCATAGATTTGACTTTTCAAAGGAATGAACAGTAAAATGTGGAACAGTAAAACTTGTAAAGCTTGTTCAACTACTTTAATCATTTGATTGACCAGAATACATGTGGCAGGGAGGTCAAAGGAAGTTTGAGTAAAATTTCATAGTGAACATCAATAATTACACCACACAGACTTTGTTCTCTGGGTTAGATTGACATTATAACAATATTAACCCCTGAATAGCTGGCATGTCTCTGGAAACTCCTGTCTCCATGAGCCGACGAATTCTGTATACATACACTGATAAAAACACTAATATTGCTAATATTACACCAATATTAGTAACTAAGCTATTCAAACGTTACTGTTGCATTATTGATATGAATCCTCTACTACTAAAAAATTTATTTTAGGAACATAATTTTAAAAAAATCAAATAATTTAGTGACTCTACCTGCCCTATGCCAGAAGCACACCTAGCTTTCAGCATTGACCAGCTGGTTCCACACATTAAAAAAATGACAGCCTTCTGCATCATCAGGTCACAGCCACAATCGGCTGAATGAGCCATAATTGCCAGCACAGATACGATGGGTCGAATTGCCTTCATCTGTGCTGTAAATTGTATGATTCTATAGTCACCGCTGTCATTTTCTTCATGTTGCATGCTCTATACGCAGAAAGTGTATTGTTGTGCTGTCATTTTCTGTGTGCTGTGCACACACAATGTATAGGAATCGCTACTGAAGTGACTTCATGAAGGAAGTAATGTAAGCAGCACTTTGAATGTTGCCTAAAATGACAAAGAAAATGATTAGCTATTTTACAACGTCTTATCACATCAAATCATTTCAAAGTGCTCCCACTGTCATCTGTAGAGACTGTTTATTGTACGCAAATATGGTAGCTAATAATGCCAGCAAGGTCCCTCAAATAGCAATATATCACCAATTAATTTAGAGGATTGCAGGCCAGAACACTGGGAGAAACTCCCTTCTGTTTTTAAGTAGAGTTATGGCATCTTTAACCTGAACATGCAGATGGCACTTCAGTTTAACATTTCATCCAAGAGTCAGAACGTCTGAAAATACAATGCTCCTCCAACATTGCAGCAGTGTCGGCCTAGATTATGAGCTCTAATGCTCGTATCGGCACTCGACAGACAAATACATTTAGCTACGTGAGCTCCATAGGTGAGCCCTGCTTTTATTTATACAATTGTTGTGAAGACATTTTTGTCACATAAATTGATGTTTCTCCCACAAATATATGGTCAATTCACTTTACAGTATGTTCTGTGAAGCACTTTGAGACGTCTAGAAGACGTGAAAAGCTTTATATCAAATGCAATGATAATTATTAATATGTTATTGTACTTACAGGAAGCATTTCATTACATTTTTACTACTGCAGGGGTGTAGGATTATATCTAGAACTACACTTTTTCCTCAAAGGTCATGAAATGAATAAAATCAATAAAAATAGCAAAGCCAGGAGATTGTTGAAGCTTGCACCACATGGCTTTAAGCCAACATTCCACTGACTCCAAGCTAATCTCTCTTTTTATAGTTTAATCTGGAAATAATTAAACTCAGAAAAACCTTGAAGAATATTGTGAATCAGCAGTTAAATTAAACCCAAAAGAGACTTTTGGATGAAGAAAGCCCTTCGGCCTATTTTATTCTCATCCTTCCAGAACAACCCCCACCTCTTGAGCACTATAACAAAGCATGTTATAATGGGGATACACTGTATTTCCTATTTGCATCCAGTATCTTGGTCTCGACCACCCTTCGTGGTAATCCACACACTCACACTCCAGTCATTAAATACCCACTGAGTAAAAGTGGATCAACGAGTTCATGCAGAGAGTAATAGAACTTTGATTTCCGATCTTTGCTGATCTATGTCAGCTGCCGGAACAGTGGCCTACAGAGAGCAATGAGATAAATGACCAATTAATCTGTTTTTTCGTGAATTGAGATGCGGGAATATTGACCAGAATACTGGCTCATTGAAAGAATCGATTCCTTGGCCATATCTTCTTGGGTTATAGAAGGGGAAAAAAACTCAGCTAGGATTTATGGTCTTAGTTGCTTTGCAGTAACTCCCTGAAACCCACCACCTGCTGCCTCAACCCCCTCCCCACCAAATTGCTGGTCACCCAGCTCCCCCTCCTCTGCCCACTACTGGCTGACGTCATCAACCAGTCCCTCTCCTCTGGATCAGTCCCTGCCTCCCTCAAAATTGCTGTCATCACCCCCCTCCTCAAAATACCTTCCCTAGATCCCTCAAACCCCAGCCATTGCCGCCCTATTTCTAACCTGCCCTTCCTCGCAAAAATCCTAGGACGCGTTATTGCCAGTCAACTTCGCGCACACCTCTCCTCCCATTCCCTCTTCGAACCCCTCCAGTGCGGTTTCTACCCTGCCCACAGTATAGAGACTGCTTTTGTGAAAGTCACAAACGACATCCTCTCTGTCTGTGACCAGGGCTCCCTCTGCCTCCTTGTCCTCCTGGATCTCTCCGCGGTGTTCGACACAGTCAATCACGCCATCCTCCTCCACCGCCTTTCCTCCATCATCCACCTCAGTGGGACCACACTCGCCTGGATCGAGTCCTACCTCACAAACCGCCAGCAGTACATCTGCACAAACAGCATCTCCTCTCACTCTCACCCGGTTACCTGTGTGGTACCCCAAGGATCCATCCTTGTCCCCCTCCTCTTTCTGATCAACATGCTCCCTCTTGGGAATGTCATCCGCAGACATGGGGTACATTTCCACATGTACGTAGATGACACCCAACTCTATTTTTCCACCTCTCTTTGCGACCCCCAGTCCTCTGATGTTCTGTCAGCCTGCCTGTCAGACCTCAGGGGCTGGATGAGTGCAAACTTCCTTCAGCTGAACGTTGACAAGACGGAAGCCATACTCTTTGGCTCCCATCAACGTCTAAAGTCTCACAGTTCTCACCTCCTCCACCTACCCGACCTCCCCTTAAAACTCTCCGAACCCGTACACACCTAGGCGTCAGGTACGACCCACAATTATCCTTCCTCCCTCACATCCGGTCCCTCATCAGCACCGCTTTCTTCCACCTCCTCCTCATCCCCCGAGTCCTCCGCTCCACCCTCAGCGGTCGTGACTTCAGCCACTATGCCCCGAGACTCTGGAATTCACTTCCTCACTCCCTTCGCCTCACCCCCTCCCTTCCTACTTTCAGGTCCCTACTGAAGACCTTTCTTTTCGACCGGGCCTTTGGTCACCTTCCTCCCCCTCCCCCTGGCTCGACCCCGGGATCCGTTACTGTGAAGCTCTCTGAGATGCCATTCGGCGTGGAGGGCGCTATATAAATCCAAGTTGTAGTTGTTGTTGATAAACACATGTATGAATGCCGGGAGAGGACTGGTTTGACTGGATTGGATCTGGTTTGGTTATGATGCCACCTGCAGTCAAATGGCCCATTTGAAACTCATTGTCTGGGCTCAAACAGCAAGAACGAACAATCCATCGTTTCAATGAGCCAGTATTCTGGTCAATACTCCCTCATCTCAATTCACGAAAAAACAGATTAATTGGTCATTTATCTCATTGCTCTCTGTAGGACACTGCTGTCTTACATCAGCTGCTGCGTTTGCCTAACCCAGCAGTCACTGCATTTCAAAGTAAGTCATTGTGTGAAGCACTTCGAGACATTTCAATATGATAAAGTATTATATCAAATGCAGCTAGTATTACCTTTTGGCCACTTTGCGAGGGGCCAGAACACATCATAAAACTTCATCTCAGTTGAAACAATAAGAATCAGCGCCTTCAGGGAAGAAGGATAGGGAAAAAAACTCTGAGACAACGAGAAACTGCAAACCACAAACTCTGGCCTTTTCACATCTGATCTGGCTCTTGCAGGCAAAAAGAAATCGAGTGTGGGCTCAAAAATTGAGAGTCGCAACCTGGATTCATAAAGGATTTGTGAATCCTGACCATAGCTGGAATTGGTGTGCGTCATGCAGACTCTTTTCAACAACATCACCTTCAAAGTGTATCAAGGTTTTGACTACTTGTTTAGATGGATATTAATGATCCTGTGGCACTATTTGGACAGAGAAGCGATTTTCTCCCAGTGTAGAAATTCCCCCAGATAAAATTGGTCATTTGCTTCCTGGCTATTTGTGGGACACTGTACGCAATTAGCTGCAGCATTTGCTACAAAATACAGTCACTACACTTCTCACTTTCACAATGTGAAAGGTGCTAAACCAATACAAGAATTATTACTCTTGCAGTATTATCTCGAAAAAGAATGGGTTTATCTGACAGACATTGGTTATTTGGCACATTTAAAACAGACTTAGCTTCATAAATAAAAATGCTTGACAGGACAGGGGATGAAATGGCTTTTATCAAATAGCATAAGAATAAGTGTAAGTTACAAGGCTAGTTGCGGCCCCTGTATTAGTATCCTTTGTTTATGCTGCTGGAAAAAAGGTGTAAATTAGTTCACATTTCCTGCTCCTTATTCATTGCCTGGAGGCTGAGTGGAGTTCTGTATTTGCAACTAAGCACTTGGGCAGAGCTCTGGTTGTTGTTAATTTTTGGGGGGGGTAGTCACATGATCAGCTCTTTAATAATATTAAACAATAGTTCCTTGAAAATCCTTTGGCTGCACAATTCATCATCTGAGAACTTTGAAGAGACCATTATACTGTGGTGCGCCCCTGAGGAGCCCACCTCCTCAAGGCAGTCTAGGTGGTGGGACTTTGGTGGGAGTTGTTTTTGAATGGTTCTATTTACCTCTAATTCAGTGCTATTCACTGTGCAAAGTGCAGTACAAACACAGCATTAAAAGGACTTGTTGGGTGAAATGGTTACAAAGCAATATATTCTCCCACCCCAATTACTTCAGAGCATTTATAGATTACTTTAAATATTGTACCTGCTAGGAAACATTTATAATTCAGTCCAGTTTTCCGACCTTGTAGAGATGTATCGTTTCGAACTGAGTGAAGATATGGATTTGTGTGAGGTTTCAGCACTGATATTAGTCAACACTGATTTGCATTTATATAGTGCACTTCACACCGTCTTGGAGCGCTAGTCATTATTTTATCTGGCATCATATTACTGTTAACTGGGCTGTAAAATAGAGAACCAGGAATAATATAATAATAATCCTTGCATTTGGTATAGAGCTTTTCACATCTTCTAGACGTCTCAAAGCGCTTCACAGAGTATACTATAAAGTGAATTGACTGCATATTTGTAGGCGAAATGCAGTAGCCAATTGTGCACAGCAGTGTCCCACAAACAGTCGTGGATTGAAGTGACCAATTTATTANTTTTTTTCTTGAGGGATTATTTTACTTTGTTCAACACTGAAGCACAATTTCAGAGTTAAACAAAGCAAAATGGAGCAACATGCAACCTCTTTGTTAACAGCTTTGAAATACAGCATGCTCAGACATGTATTTTCTAAGCAGTAATTTATAAAATATGACATAGAGATTTCCAAAATAATAATAATAATCCTTGCCTTCGATATAGCGCCTTTCACATTTGGAAGCAACGTCCCAAAGCATTTCCGAAGACTGACTGTAAAGTGTATTTTGTAGGCAATTGTGCAGCACAGTTTCTGCACAGCAATATCCCACAAACAGCTGTGATATGAATAACTGTTGCAAAGGGATTATATTGTACCAGTAATTGCTTGCTGACAGTGAACTAATCTCTTTATAAATTGAAGAGGAATCATCATGCTTTGAGAGAATGTATGATTTGGCTTCTCTCCTGGAACAGTTGGGAGCAGCCTGCTTGATATACCATCGCTTCAGAACCATTGTATTGATTGCTTGGGAAGTTTATGCTGGTAACTGCTGCAGCATAAACTGCTCCAATGAGATTGTTTAACTTTTAAACACTTGTTTTAGTGAAGGTATGGGTGGGGAATATTCCTGATATTTTGCCTTCCATTCCTTAATTAAGAGCGTCCCTTATTTAAAAAAATTAAGATAATGTAAAAGTAATTAAAACTTAAAAGTCATTGGCAGGAGAATGCTCAAGTCCCTCTCTGAGTATGAATAAACATGGCCATTATTTGAACAGTAAAAAGACTCCAGAAGAAAGCAGTAACCAGAAAAACGGCAGGTGAGGGAAATCAGTCCCAAACTTGATATGAAGTGGTATGGGGTGGATTTTAAAGACACAGTTTACCATGCTTTTCCTCCATTCCTTAATTCATCCCTGACTGTCCAGCGCCTTGGGACGTCCTTCCAACGTGAAAGGCGCTATACAAATGTTATGTGTTGTTATAAGTTAAGAAACAGATTCAGTCAATGATTCAACCATGTTTAACAGTCACATAATTGCATCATGTCAGCCTGGTTTAGTTGGTAGCTCTCTCGCCTCTGAATCTATGCTAATCCTCTAATGCAGTGCCAGAGGTGTGCTGCATTGTTGGAGGTGCCGGCCTTTGTATGAAATATTAAACCAAGGTCCCATCTGCGTGTCCAGGTGGACATTAACGATTCAACGGCACTATTTTGAAATACGGATGGAATTTCTACCGGTCTTCTACCAGAGAATCCTCCAAATAAAATTAGTCACTTCATGGCAGTTTGGGGGATGTTGCTATGCACAAATTGGCTCACGGTTTCACCTATAATACACAGGCACTTCACTTTACAGTGTATCTTTTGAAGCTTTTTGAGGTGCTCTCCCGGTAGTACATGAAATGTAAGGCTTATTACATTATTTATAATTTTATTGCACATCTGCGCTTATAAACTGGGCAACCTGCAGTGACTTTCAAGTGATTTTGCCAGGATGTCAAATCTTTCAATATGGAGGAATTTAAGTAAGTACAAAATTATCTGAAATGTTAAACCAGATTCAAACATTTACAATGATTTTCTTGTGTTTTTTAGGTGCACTGTTGTCAATAATAGAGGAGTTTCTGGAGAGAGACTGTTGGTAAGATGTTGTTAGCACATAATAGTCAAGTGATCAAACGGTGCATTTTATGCCAAATAATGGATGAACAATGACTTGGAATATGTGAAAAAGCTGTAACATATTTGAAAGGTTTGGATAATGCCAAAAATTGTGGGATTGTAGAACAAACAGTTTACAATCAGCTAAACCTCATGAGCAAGTTACCGCTTTGAAAATATTCCCAAAGTTTAAAAATACATGATTATTTTGTCTTTGCTTACTTTTTCAGAACGTTCCTCTTGGAGCTTTTCTGTTGCTAATAATCCTAACCACTGGCATTTTCCTATGTTACAAGACACCAAGGGGTTTACATTTTACACAATTATGCCATTAGACTAGGGTAAGGTGGGGTTCATTAACAGCAACATCAATATTACATTGAAAACTAAAGTATGACAGGTTAAAAAAAAATCCTGGGAACTGTATAGTATTTTCATTTAATTCCCAAAACTTTTTGAACAGCCTGTAACAATCATTTAGAGGCTACGAAATAAGTGCTCTGTGTCTTTTGAACGTTTAATGATCCTCAATGTTAAAGATGAAAAAAAAGATGAGCAGTTCTTAAAATGTAATGGATCCCATTTGGTTTAATCCTACAAGGCCACCCGCTCTGTCCCTCTTCGGAACACTACTTATGTACAGTTCAAATTTACATTTATGTAGAGGCTTTCATTTATTATAAAAAGTCTGCTTTGATGAACAAACATGTGTTGCCTTGTCTACAAATATCAGTCACAGTGTGCCTTGGAAAGTGCTGTTGTCTTGAGCCACTGAAATATCTTAGGGACGGCACACACAATTTATTAGTTGTTTATTTTCTGAAAACTACAGCATTTAAATTTGTGACTCTAAACCATATTTTGAAGCACACGTTTCATATTGATGAGATCCAACTTCAGGAAGTGAAAATATTTTGTTTGATGGTACTGTACTTGTTCTGTCTCCATTCCTGTAATTTGGTTCAAATACATGTTCATCCGTTAAACAAACATATCTGAGATTTTAGTCCAATGTGCCGATCTCCTAATCTAACATTGCTGTAAAACTATGANTTTTTTCATAAGAACCTCTACACAAAAGTTGTCTGCCTGCTTTTTTTTAAATAAGAGTATCATTTGCACCATGAACTGTGTGTAACTTAACTCAGCCAAGCACATGATTCATATCAGAAGGTGAGACGTAGAAGCAATCTGTGTGAACAGGGCAATTACTTGTGTTGGAATCCATATGGTGTCAAAGCTGATTTTCTGTAGGGGAGAAAAAATCTAATCCTTAATACTTTCTGAGAAGTGTGTGATTTGATAATGGTCACATGGACAGATAATACAGTTGAAACGTTTTCTTAAACATGTCTTAAATGCATGTTGGGATTGAACATTTGCCCTTCCCCTTGACTTCAGGAAATGCTTACCTGGCTCTGCTGAAGATTCAGTATTTATGACATGTTTTTCTTTAGTGTGTGAGGACCGGGGAGCTCCATTATTTCTACAGTGAGAGCAGCTTTCCAAAATCCCTTCATCAGATACTGGTTTGTACTTCATTAGGCCACAGAGAACAAAGAATTCACATTTTTTTGCCAGACGGTGACCTAAAAATAAATTTAAAAGTAAATATTTGAAGTTAAAATAGCAGTTGTAGCAACTAGGAATCAATTTAAAAAAGGACTCCATTGGCTACGTCCAAATTCAAGATGGCACCAAATCATTCTCCAAAGACTGTAGGTTGAGGGTTTTGAGTCCCAAACTTGATTTTAAGGACAATGTTTTAAGGGCACAAAACAACTACATTTTCAGTCTTTGTAATAATTATCACTGCATATACCACATTCCCCCCCCCCCACCTCCATTATCTCATGCAGCGATTCTATTTTGGCAGTCTAAAAACATATGAATAGTCAGCATCCTTCACAGACTGCATAAACAGTTTCAGACTGTGAATGTGACCTGATTCATAGCACTAAGGGAAAGCTTAAGGCATATTTTCCATACTATGCAAACTTCCAAGGGCAGTAATATAAATAATAAAAGTAAAGGGAAACCTCATTATAGTACAGCCAGCTGGGTTAAAAGCCTGGTACAAGAAAATGGCCAACTTCCAGGTCATCAGGATGCACTGACATCACTCCGTATGTGTTAGTCAGCAGCAGAATTTGGGTTTACAAGGGTTCACAGTAGACCCACTCTGCAAGAGAAGCAGCATGATTGTGAGGAGTATTATAATGGTGTTCCCTTTTATTGCTAAAATTGATGTTAGCTTTGCAGTATTTCTCAATCTTCTGCTTCTACTTGTTTCTCACCTCCATTTATCCTTCTTAAGCTAAATGATTGATGTACTGAAGGTGTTGACTTCTCCAGTGACATTCTATAAACTTATTTCTTTATTAGACAACTGGAGTGGACTTATATTGGGAAGTCATGCATTAGCCATTCATTCTTGCCAAGTCTACTGATTAAATTAATGCTCCATTGCCCAAAGACAGCAGCCTTGCAGCCCAACTTATACTTGACAAAATACCTTACAGTGAAGGCTGAAGTGTGAGAAAGCCCTGGGACTCAAACATTAAGTATCTCAATTGTTACATGAAGCACAATTCCTATTATCCTATTGCACCACCAAAAAATCTTGTCCTGCTGCCTTGTCTTACCTGATAACATTATCTGCTTTTCTTTCTCAGTCCCATTTAGTACTGTGTATACTTCTATCAGGTATTCCTGAGATGTCTCTTTCCAAGCCTGAAGAGCAGTAGTTTATCTAGTTATTGCTCATCACTGCTCAACACTGGGAATCATTCATATTGTCCTTCTTTGCACTGACTCCAGGGCCTGAGCTGTTATATCATGGTAACCAGAAATATACTCAAGTGTTGCCCGATCAGAGCACTGCAGAGTTTAAGTCTGATGTTTAGAGGTCTAAACTCAACTGATTTGGCAATATAACCCAGCATCCTGTTTGCCTTGTTTATTGTTGTCTCACACTGTTTTAATACGGTGAGCAACAAGACAGCTAACACCCTTAGGTTCCTTTCAGTTTTCCCCTTAGAAAATTCAAGATGGCACCAAACCCTGCTACGAAGTGTTTGCAACTACTCTTATTACTACCTACATGCAGTACCTTGCATTTATCTTCACTGAGCTTCATTTGTAATGATTGTGGGTCCAACTTCTTAATAAGAGTCTTAAAAAAGACAAAGTTTAGATATTCGTTATTAAGAAATCGCACACGTGAATACTGCAAATTCGACACCACTGTTTATTTTGCCAGCTCAGAATTTAATGTTTGCGACATGAACATGGTAGTGCTATAGTTCAAGGTAAATTTTTCTTTCTGTAATGGATTTTTCACAGTGCTTACTGTGTCATTTTGCATGACTGGTTCTAGACTCCCAGAACATACTGTGCTGCCAACACAGAAGATTTGGAAACTGTCATTACGCATGTCCAGGAAAGGTTTTCAGAAGCTCCATTGATAGCAGCAGGAGTCTCTATGGGAGGGTAAGAGTTCACATCATGAGTATGGGAAATTAACACAGTAAATAAATAGCTGTACTGACATATTATGTGATGAATGTAAACGCTTACTAAATTAGCATGAGATCATAAAAGAAAAAATAAATATAAAACCTTTAAAAGAAAAACTGAAATTCACTACCTGTACAACAACAATAATTTGAGTACAGTACTATACAATTCAATTGAGATATATTAAATATATACTGTAGACTACTCGATGGCAGGTAAAAATAAATATCGGACATAATAAATACCGTAAAGCCATGTTTATAGACCAGCATTATGTTGTAATGTAGTATATACAGGAACTTTATCTCCACTCCCATCCTCTCTGTATGTAGTCTCCACATTCTCATGTCGACAGATTATTTTCCCATAATTTTGCACCCCAAAACCAACTGTCTAACTTCAGAAGCAAAACATATTCAAAACACATTTTTCAAAACCAATGGCACTCATGCTGCCATAACATTATATATTTTTATGAATGAACATAATTAACAATGTAACATATATATTGGGGTTCCCATACACAAACTTGTGGTACAAACCCATCACAGTATTAAATGGAATGGAGTTATGATGGCAAATATCAGCCATCTTTTTGTTAGTTTATTTAATAAAAATCCAACTGAAGAGTTCACTAAATTTAGTGATAGGCAAATAATAGACACTGCCTTCCTCACACCATAAGGGATGAGCTGGAACAACTATGGGGTTGTGTGGGTGGCTCACTTATTTTCACCACAAAGTTTAAAGTTCATCGCACAAGATATACCCATGCAACTCACCAGTGAACCAGCCTGCTGCTGGACCTCAGACAGATAGTGCAGGTCAATACATCTGATGTATGTCATGGTGGTGGTGAGGGAATGGACACAGAGGACAGTATAACAACGTTCTCAAAGAGAGAGAAATCAGAAGTCAAAGACTTCTCTGGAGTGAGTTTGAGTCATATACTCATTTGTATTAGAGAATGAGTCACTTACAGCAATATAATTTTCATTAGCTGATTTATTTGATATGTGCAACCTTTAAGTCACATGGAGAACACTAAAAGTTCACACATTTGCAGCAATATATTTGATCTTATTTTTAAAGGACTGAAACCATTTAATGTTTTTCTGAGTAAAAAAAGTCAATGTAAATTAAAATTTTAATTTTAAAAAGCTGAAATTAATCAGGATAACCTGGAGGTTTCGAAAAACCTGGGCACATCAGATTTGTATCTAAATTATCAACATATTGGAGGGCTTAAGATTTAAAATCTAAGTTCCAGTTGTTCCTGTTTAGAAAAAAAACAATTTCTGAGAATATCCTAAATTGGAATAGGAGTTGTTAGAAGTTTATTGAAGATTATTAATATACAATCTACAATTAATGAATATCCGTACACCAGAAAACTAGAGGCCAAATTGCCATTGATTTGTTTCATTGTCATTTCAACTTGTTTTTGGTATTATGTGTTTTTGTCTGTACTACATTTGATATCTGTGAAATCTATCTCATGCTGATTACTAGCAATTGCAATCCTTTGTTACATGTTTATAATGGGAATTGTTTACAATGTACATTAATGATTTGGACATAATGTTGAAGGTGTTGATTCCAAATTCAATGATGATTCCAAACTGCACATTGTGAGAATGATTGTATAAGAGTTCAAGAAGGCATTGGTTGAAAGTAAGGATCAGACAAGAAGCAGCTGCAGTTTTACACTAGTAAATGTAAGGTATTACATTTTAGGAAAAAGAATAGGGAATGGAATTATAGCCTAAATGATTAAACATTCATTGGAATGGAGGAGCAGAGGTATCTGGGCTTTAAACATATACATCGCTAAAAGTTGAGATTAATAATAAATAATCCTTGCATTTGATATAGAGCCTTATCACGTCTTCGAGACGTCTCAAAGCGCTTCACAAAATATACTGTAAAGTGAACCGAGTATATTTTGTGGGTGAAATGACAAGTATCAAGAAGGCAAATGGAGTTTTGGAAATTTATAAACCAGGGTATTGAATGTAAAACTAATGAGGTCATGTTGGAATTGTATAGGGGATTAGGTAGGCTGCATTTGGTGCATTGAGTTTTATGCACACTATTAAACAGGAACTAATATCATTTAAATGGAGAGGGTGCAGCACATATTCACTATCATGTTACCAGGTATAAGTATGAAGAGATGCTAGCTAAAAATCAAGCTTCATTTAAAAATTATGATAACTAACAACACAGGTTAAATATATGCTGCACCAGCTCCATGGCTCTAATGGAGCATCCAAAACTGTATGCAATATTCAAGTTGCAGTCTAAGCATTGTCTTGCACAGATTCAACTTGATCTCTTCAATTGTGCATTCAATGTTTTTATATATAAAAATATACATCTCCCAATTGTCCCTGTTGTAATTCTGCAAACCTGATTTTAAAGATTTGTGCATTAGCACCCTCAGATTCCTCTACTTTTCTACTCCTTGATGGGTTTACTGTTTAGATATATTTCTGTTAAATATTCTTTTGCACTAAATGTACTTACATTTTTACCTATATTTAACTCAATTTGCTACATATTGGGCCACATCTCTAACCTCCCTGTAACCTCTGGCATTCTTCACAATGCTGTCTAAAAAGGGCTCAAGTAGTGTCATCTCTGTATGGTCATTTGCAAAAGTACCCAAAGTGTAAAGTGTTTTCTCCAGGCATGAGGACTTGTGAGACTTCATCTTAGAGCTCAAGATTTTATCAGACCAAACGTTTCTGAGTTTGCTTGCTGTACGTAGGATTACCATCACAAGAAGCTTTTGTCAGGGAGCCACACAGTTTTGATACTATTCCAGCAATGTTTAGATGCCAGTGTGTCATATTCCCTTCTTTGGGATATCAGAAAGGATATATTCAGGGCTGATTTTTGGTTTCAACCAAAAACTCTGATAAAACACCCCAATACAAAAAAAAGAAATCGGTGTTTATTCAACAAACACAGTAAATTGTTATCTGTTCTGGTGCGCACGGCACATGAGTGAGAGCACCTCTCTCCCCCCCGTGTGTGAAGGTATGTTCCAAACACGCCTGCGCACATGGAGAGAGAGAGAGAAGAGCCCTCACGCATTCAAAATGCCTCCTTCCTCAAACGTGAGAGGATGGAGGCACTGCACATTGCTTGAAAGCACCTCTCTTGCCTCAGTGTGCACAGGTGCGTCTGAATCTTTCACTAAAACTAAATGAAAAACCCACGATTTTTAGAACTCAAAAAATGCTAAAAAATATATATAAAACTAAACCACGAAAAGTGAATTTTTTAAACCCTGAAAAACAGAAACCCTAGATATATTGGCCTTGGAGGGGGTACAGCACAGCTTCATCAGAATAATACCAGGATTGAAAGAGTTAAATTATGAAGCTAGGTTGCATTTGCATCTGGAGTTCAGGGGTAATCTAATTGAGGTGTTTAAAATGATAAAGGGACTTGATAAAATCGTTACAGAGAAACTATTTATTATGGTGAGGGAATCCAGAACCAGGAGACATAATATAAAAGTAGAGCTAGGCCAGTTAGGAGTGAAACCAGGAAGCATTTTTTCACACAAAGGGTTGTGGAAATCTGGAATTCTCTCCCCCAAAAGGCTTTGGATGCTGGGTCAATTGGTATTTTCAAATCTGAGGACCAACATTTCACTTCATCTTAGTCTGTAAGATCATTTTGTCTTATGCAGGGTGACCAAAACGACATAATACCATCATAATGTCTTAAGTCTCAAAGAAATAATATTTTGGTTTTTTTTAGATAATAGGGTAGATATCACGCTTTTTGGTCACCCTGTAGATAGGTTAAGGCTAAATTTCAAAATGTCAGGCCTTTTTTTAAAGAAATACATTTTATTTTGCAATAGCACAAAACAAAATAATTTGTGCCAAGGAGGAGAAATTGGGAACCATATTTTTCACTGCAATAAAATGTAGAATTTAATAGTGAGAGACATAATAAGGGTCACTATAATGACTAGCTTTTTTATTCTACACAATTGAAATATGATTCCAGTGCATTAAGTAAAGTTTAGGTATTATGATAATTAATTGTTAAGGCAACTTAATAAGCACCTCATTATTTCTGACAACATTTTGCTCGTACCCGCTACAGGATGCTCCTGTTGAATTACCTGGGGAAGATCGGCAGGGAGACTCCACTGAAGGCAGCTGTAGTCTTCTCCGTTGGCTGGGATGTGTTTGAGTGTACGGCTTCTCTTGAAAAACCACTTAACTGGATATTGTTTAATTACTATTTAACTACTTGTCTGCGGGCTTCCATCAGCAGGTTGGTATCTGAGGAGCGAGGAGGGCTTAATATCACTGTGACTAATCGCAGCAGCTTTCCAAGATTGCAGTGGACTTGTTTTTCATGCTGTTAAAACTTTTTTTATTGTCATTTTGAATAGAAACCTCACATAAGTAGTATCTGTTGGGACCATACATTTAATATGACTTATTCGAAGTCTTGAGTTTTGTCAAACTTGCATAGATTTTAAACTCTTGATAGGATGGATGACCTTTAGATGGATTATACTGTGCGCTAGTTTAGATAGCAAGCTATCTTCTGTAAAAATAGAACAAATGCATTCATTTTTTAAGGGTTCAGCTACAATTATTTGAGTCTACCATACATTGGTGATACATTATTGCCTCCATGGGCCAGTAGCTTATTGATGCCTTAGAAATTATATCATTCAGAGGATTTGAACTGAATTTCAGAATTATTTGTTCTGATAGCCTCGCAAATGAGTGCAATCGCCCTTTCAATATGACCCCATTTGACGTAGACAAGCTACAGGTAGACTATAAATGCATTTCTTTGATTTACTGTGTTATTAAATTTAATAGTTCTATGTATTTTAAGTACTCGATTTCAGTGGTTGTCAAACTACTACAAGATTAATTCCTCCTTAGAAGTCCTTAATTCACATGAAAGGATTATTGATGGTATCAAATATTTGGCTCAGCTCTTTCAAGCCCATGGAAGCACAAATAAATAAACCAATGTGATCGCGAAATAAACATTTTTACCATCTCAAACAACCTAATATTATTTAACAAGCTTGTCAGAATAATTGCTTCAACTTTCTAGCATTGCACATAATATCTAATACTTTTGATTTCTATTCTAAATGGAATAATGAGTAATATCCGGACTCTAATGTAAAATGATCTAATTTCATACCTTTTATGGTCTTGTCTATATTGCGCAGTGAGGGTGTGCCACTTAAAGGAGTAACAGAATTTTAATTGAATGTTCCCTGACCATAGCAACAAAGCTTCCACTTGAAGTTGATGATGCTTACTAGAGGACAGTGTCATTGACACTGGCATCAGTGATTTATACAATTGTGCACTCTTCATACAAGAGGATATCTTGAAGGCCATTTGATTGTAGGATTCCTCGTCCTGTGTATTTATAGCAAGTAGATCTCCGGATACCGATCAGCAGTAAAAACCTTAGCAATTGTTTTTCCCCTCCCTCCTCCAGGGCACTGAGGTAAATTGCAATATTCCACAACAGTATATGAAAGGGAGGGACTTGAAGGGGTATGGGAATAAGAAAGGGTTGTGAAATTAAAGCAAAATCCTTGCTGTGTGAGTTAATGCAGGCTTCAGTGCTATAGATTTCTGTTTCTAGGTATAACTCAGCTGTTTTGTGTTTCAAAAGATTTACTGTTTTTACGTTATAGACACAAGCAAGTCTTGGAGAAATTATTTAACCTTGATTATGTCCTGAAGGTAGGTGTCTTCCTCGCTATCTGTAAAATTCAGAGAATAATGCACCAGTACGTTTGTGAGTATGTTGTGTACAGAAAAAAATAAGCCATATGTATATATTTTTTCATCCTAGGCAAAATCTATACGAGAATTTGATGAAAGGCTTACGTCAGTCATGTTTGGTTACCCTAGCAATAGTGATTACTACAAAGACGCCAGCCCTTGTCACAAACTGAAATCCATCGAAGTTCCTGTGTTGTGCTTAAATGCTTTAGATGATGTTTTTTCACCAAGTCACGGTAAGTGTATGGCAATGTAGCTATGTAACACTACAGTGTTAGGTTGTAGCAGTTGTAAACAAAGTTCAAATTTTTGTTATGATTCATTTTTAAACACAATTTCACCTCAGTCTAAGTAACAGATGGAAAACTGGAAGGAAAGAGGCAGGGAGAGTAGGATGATCATCACTTTAATGCACGTGTCCAGACAAGTCATCCAGAGATCTCTATTGACAGCTTGAATTGAGATCTGAACAGATTTGATCAAGGAAGATAGTACGGAGGAGTAGAGATGAAATATGATAAGAAAATATTTACACATTAGAAAATAGGATATTTTTCTCTGTATTCAACAACACCAAATTACATTTATATGGTGCTTGTCATATCGGGAGGACGTTCCAAGGCACTAGACAGTGAAGCGTTTACACCCGAGCTGTGGGCTAGAGTTAGGAAGGGTGGAAGGCAAGGGTGGTGGTGATGGGAAGATGACCAAAGGCACGGTCAAACAGGAAGGACTTGAGATGGACCTTGAAGGAGACAAGGGAGAGGCAAGATGGAAGGCTGGATTTTTAGAAGGTGGGCGCAGCAAAGCGAAACACCTGACCTCCAATAGCGGGACTGGCAGAACGGAGGACGGGGAGCAAGCCAGTATCCAACAAGTGGAGGGAGTGGACAGGTTGGCGGGGTTTTAGGAGGACACAGAGGTAGAGCGGAACCAGACCGTGGAAGTGCTTTGAAGGTGAGGACAAGGATTCGAAACGTGATCCTCTGGGGAATGGAGAGCCAGTGAAATTCTTTGGGGGTTGGGGGTTCACTGCGTTAGTTATGACTTGCGATTTGCAAACACAATTTTATACCATGAGATGCACAACCAGCATTGTTTAAAATAGACTGATTTCAAACAGCCCATTGTGTCTGTCCTGGATCTTTAAAGAGCAATCCATTCAGTCCTATTTACCGCTTTTCCCCAAGTCCCTGTACTGCTTTTTAGGTAGTTATCGAGTCCCTTTTTGAAAGTTAATATGGATTCTGCTTCAACCACCACTGCTGGATGATGGTTCCCAATGGGATTCACTGATAGAATAGGGAAGTCTGTTGGTAACTTGCCAAATTGTGAGATTCCTGCTTCAAAGCACCATAGGGAAAGTTCCCATGAGCTAACTGATATTATGTATTGGCAGGATTCCCCCTTTGACATATACAGCCTTGGAAGTATCTCATAACATTGAATAATGATTCCCCCAAGCCATCATTCTCTCAACTCTCTCCAATGCAAACCCTTCAGTCGGGTTTCCGTGCTGCCCATAGCACAGAAACTGCCCTGGTCAAGGTCACCAATGACATCCTGACCATCTGTGACCAGGGCTCCCTCTACCTCCTGGTCCTCGACCTATCGGCAGCATTCGATACGTCGACCACGCTATCCTCCTCCACCTCTTGTCCTCCCACCTCAACCTTCAAGGCCCTGTCCTTGAGTGTTTTAGGTCGAACCTCTCCCACCGACTTCACTTTGTTTCCACAAATGGTTTTTCCTCCACCCCCGCACTGTCTTGTGCGTCGTCCCTCAGGGCTCTGTCCTTGGTCCCCTCTTCACCCTCTATATGCTCCCCCTTGGTGACATCATCCGCAGACATGGGATTAACTTCCACATGTATGCGGATGACACCCAACTCTACCTTTCCTCCTCTACCCTCAACTCCACGACCACCGATGTCCTGACAGCCTGCCTGTCCGACATCGAGTCCTGGACGAGAGACAACTTTCTTCAGCTCAACGTGCGTAAAACTGAGGCCCTCCTGATTGGCTCACGTCAGCGCCTCCGCACCTCAGGCGCTGACAGCATCAGCATCCAAGGCTGCACTCTCCACCTCTCAAAGCCATCAGGAACCTCGGGGTTCTGTTCGACCCTGAGCTGTCCTTTCTCCCTCATATCCGCGCCACAACTGGCACCGCCTTCCATCACCTCCGGAACATCGCCAGACTACGGCACTACCTCACCCCTCACGCTGCTGAAACTCTGGTCCACGCCTTTATCACCTCAAGGCTGGACTATGGGAACTCTCTCCTCGCCGGCCTTCCCGGCACCTCTCTCCACAAGCTGCAGGTCATTCAGATCTCTGCAGCTCATGTACTGTCCCGCACCAGACTTCGGGACCACATCACTCCCACCCTCGCTCGCCTCCACTGGCTCCCCATCCCCCAGAGGATCGATTCCAAGATCCTCATCCTCACCTACAAGGCCATTCACGGCCTTACTCCCTCCTACCTCTCCGACCTACTATCCCCCTACTTACCTGCCCGTACCCTCCGTTCCTCTGGCTCCGGTCTGCTCCACATCCCCCGCCCCAACCGCCCTACCATCGGTGGCCGGGCCTTCAGCCTCTCAGCCCCTAGGCTCTGGAACTCTATCCCCCAGTGCCTTCGCCGCCTCCTCCCTTTCCTCCTTCAAGGCCGGTCTCAAGACCTTTCTCTTTAACCGTGCCTTCACCTCCCCTCTCGACTCTCTACCCCCTCCTCGCCCCCTCCCTTCCCTCCCCTCACCCTGACCATTTCCCCCCTGCTCAGGTCCTGACCCAACTGTACAACGCCTTGGGACGTTCTCCCGACGTGAAAGGCTCTCTATAAATGGAATCTTGTTGTTGTTGTTTTAAATGCACGGCGCTCAAAACAACAAATAATGTTCCAAGCAAAGGCTCACTAGAGATCTGCACAAAGTCAAAATAACCTCTTCTGGCTTTCAGTTCAACGTTCTTCCTACATAACCTAACATTTGATTAGTTTGTCGATAACAACTTCACATTGAATGGAAATTTTATATTTTTTCCAGCCATACCTAAGGAATCTGCAAAACAAAGCCCTTATGTCTCATTGTTGCTTACTTCACATGGAGGACACATTGGCTTCTTAGAAGGGATATTTCCTCGACAAACAACTTACATGGACAGAGTCTTCAAACAATTTGTACAAGCTGTCATTGAGCATGGAGATGAACTGAGAGCAATGTAACTCTTCTTCGGATCTATTCATTCTACTCTTTTGCACACTAATTTTACTGTTAAAGCTAATCCAAATCTTGACTTAAGCACATTGCAAACTATGCATTTACTCATAATATATATTTAAAATGCCGCACTGCTCTTTACTTGAAATTGTCCATAATTTAACAAAAGGTTGAATGACAGATAGCCAAAAATATTGCACTTTGATTATATCTGAGTTTATGTTTTTGCATTTTTTTTATGATTGTTGGTTGTTTTTTAAGTAAAAACATTCAAGTTTTAATTTTATATTCGTAACTTTTAATTACTGGTTCATCTCCTTTTTAATCACAATTATTAAATTCTGCTTACCGGATTTGCACTAAAATATTAAAATTACAAAAGTAGCAACAGGAGATTGATAACCTCAGGGCTTTTATTTGAAATGGGCCAGCAGTATTAATTCAGTCTTTTGCTCATTGAAAGTGTTACAGATCAGAAAAGAATGCATTTGCACACAATTTATCAATTAGCCAAATTTAATATTTCTTCTGTTGCACTTTGCCTCTAATATTGGTACTGTCATTATAATTGTCTGCAGTTTGGTTACCTATATGTTTTCAAAAAAGTAACAATGCAACATATGGATAACTATTATAAATGCAATATTTAATGGAGAAGAATGCAGAGATGCTGCTACAACAAAAAATCTTGCCATAAAATGAATGTAACAATGTAATGCTGAAATGTAATATTATTTGGGACTGGACTGGAAAACTTTCTTTTTAGAATATTCATCCATACGGACTGGAACAAGAGGTCTATTCTTTACGTGCTTAAAACCAAAGCAGAAACCAATATCATACTTACATTAAGAGAAAGTCATTCTGAATTAGACTGTAGTTGTGGGACCTCATCTTTCTCAGTATAAGCAATATATTTTATGCCAAACTAGTTTTTACAGCTGGTGCTATTGAGTTGGCAGTCCATTACACTACATGCTGTAGTTATCTTGTCATACGGTCTACTATTAACTGGATTCTTCCAGCCTTTGTACAGTGTTTATAATATAAATGATCCAGCATAAGTCTGACAGACACATCAGTGTCATATATTACAAAATGTAAATGCATTTTTTTTCTGGGAAATCTCTTGAACAACTAGAATACATTTTAAGCTATATATTTACGAAAAAAAATAAAATTTTCTAAACCAACTGAACTTTGTGTATTTTGTAACTAATTTGTCATTGGCGTTATACATATACTGCATTCACATTTTCTACTGAGTGGTGCATTACCTACAACAGTAGAACCGCTGAACTTCCCAGCGAGAAGACACAAGTCGAGTCCTGTAGCTCAGTGGTTAGAGCACTCACTTTGCAAGCGAGAGACCTGAGTTCAATTCCAGACAGGGTGAAACCTTGGGCAAGTTTCCTTACTCCACACATCTAATAATAATCCCTCCAAAACCATAAACAATAATAAATTGGTCATTTTCAATCTATGACTGTTTGTGGGACATTGCTGTGCGCAATTGGCTGCCGCGTTCGCCCACAGATATACAGTCAATTCACTTTACAGTGTGTTCTGTGAAGCGCTTTGGGACGTCCTCCCGACGTGAAAAGCGCTCTATCAAATGCAAGGATTATTATTATTAAGTTGAAATGTTTCGTGTTCAGTGAGTAGAATTTCTTTTTTTTAAAAATGTAATGCCACCTGTTATGGGATCCCATCCCAGAACAGAAGGAAAACTAAGCTATAATCGAGGCAGTGCCAGTTTTCCATTAGTATCAGAGATGCTACCAGTTTTCATATATCGGTGCTGTCAGTAACACAAAGCAAAATGAGCAGTAGTGATGCCACGGATCAGGTCAACTGATCCACTCAGTTGACCAGTAGTTCTTAGTATGTCTGTGAATGAGAGGTAAATTACTACTAGTGGCAGCACCACTCCTGCTCATTCTTCATAACCAATGCAAACATCTTGACTATAAGGACAGACATCCTTCTAAGTCCTCATTGTGGTCAAACTTCTAAAGTGATTAATTTCAATAACACAGCTCAGGCTATTCTGATCATGCTTCCAGTTGGCTCATCAAAGACCATAATAATAATAAATAATTCTTGCATTTGATATAGCACTTTTCACATCTTCTCGACGTCTCAAAGCATTTCACAGAATAATAATAATAATAATCCTCGCATTTGATATAGCGCTTTTCACGTCGGGAGGACGTCCCAAAGCGCTTCACAGAACACTGTAAAGTGAATTTGTGGGCGAACGCAGCAGCCAATTGCGCACAGCAGTGTCGCACAAACAGTCGTGGATTGAAAATGAACAATTTATTTATTTATTTATTTTTGGAGGGATTATTATTAGGTGTGCGGAGTAAGGAAACTTGCCTGAGGTTTCGCTGTGCCAGGTATCTCGCTTGCAAGGCGAGTGCTCTAACCACTGAGCTACAGGATTCCACAATCATCCTTATTGATGGAGAAAGTATGATGATAATGAGGGTAATTAGGATGAAAATCAGCATGTTCCGTCATTTGCAACGCCCCAGTTTGGTTGTTAGATTGGTTTCTGCCCATATTCCGAACCATTCACCTACAAATACACAGTCACTCCATTTCCAGTAAACCCTATGAAGCGCTTTGAGATGTCCTTCCAACGTGATAAAGTGCTATATCATATGCAAGGATTATTATTATATTCATGTCTCGTCTAAATACTCTGAGACGCTATCTCACGTGAAAGGTGCTACCTCTTCCATATCAATGCAGCTCCAGGTACAACACCCTATTCCTTTCTGTGTTCTATGCAATTCAGAAACTCCACTATGTTATATTTTCCCATCAAGTGGATCAATTTCTGTTTGAAAGGATGTTAAACTCTTTGCTGAAACATAAATATATGACATCAACTGAGTCCCCCTTGTCCACAACTTCTGGTATTCAAAGATTTGAGGTTTTATCATTATTGGTTTCTCCTGAATGGCAGGACCTCTTCTAGTATTCTTATGAAACACTTTAGTGTAAAAATTAATGATTGTAATATTGTACTTTCTGAAGAACATGAAGGGTAAGTACTTAAAAAAGGACTGATAGAATGTTACTGGGTTGGTGTACACGTTAGAGGTGACAGAAACGATATGTGCTTTTTGGAACATAGTGCAAAGAGAATTTTTTCTTTATTAATCTGGCAACTGTGTCAGTTTGGCTCAGTTAACAGAACAATTGCCTCTGAGTCAGAAAATTGTGGGTTCAAGCACCACGTCAGGACTTGGAACTCGTATTGTTTTAGCTGACAATCCAATGCAATGCTGTGCATTGTGCTGCATTTTTGGAGTGCCAACCTTTGGATAAGACATTAAATAAATGGCTGCCTTGTTCAGCTGAATGTTAAAGATCCCATAGGACTACTCGAAAGAGAAGGCAGTTTCTCCTGATGTCCTGGCCAACAATCCCTCAAAAAAAATTGGTCGTTCATTTCACGTCTGTTTGCAGGTAGTTGCTGTGTGCAAAAGTGGCTGCTGCATTTGCCCAAAAAACATGCAGTCACTACACTTTACAGTATCTCCTATGAAGCTTTGGGACAGCTTTCTGACTTGAAAAGTACCAAACCAAATGCAAGGATTATTGTTATACAGAAAAAATCAGACAGAGACAAAAACAGAAGTGAAGCAAAAAAAACAGGAATGAGAGAATGAGTGAAAGGCAATACAATGGCAGCAGCAAACAAAAGTGTTAATATCATTGGATGTTTGGTCATATTAAGATTTATTTCACCATAGAATACAGGAGAATGAGAGAGGGACTCACAGTGAGCAATGAACTGTTGGTATGTCTCATCTGATTTCTATGCTATAATAAAATGATGTGTAATCTGTAATCTCTATATATAAAATTATGTATAACCTGCAATCTCCACATGGGTTTTATTAATCTTATGAGTAAAGTTCAAAACTTCATCTATGCCAAGTCAAAGCAAGTCACCTTGTCTGAATTCAAGAGCTAAAATGGTATTAAAATATTCAGAGGTTCAAAGTACTTTCTAATGGCATTTGCAAAGAACATATCTTGCCCCCAACCTGTTGAAAGACAGTGCCCCAAGACCAGGGGGAAAAATAGGATTTCACCTGCCCAACACCATTTATTACATAAGTGAATTGATAACAAAGTATTAAAAATGTTAAGAGACGTAAAAAAAATTAAAAACGAGCAAAATGTTAAAAAATGTTAAACTATATTTCACATCTAAAAACTTAAAAAAGTATATAAACAGGGAGCCCACCCTCCCTGCCCTCCACCCTCCATTACTCCAACCCCCCCACTGCTCGGATCCAAATCCCTAGCTGTCCAGTGACTTGGGACATCCTCCAGATGTGAAAGGTACTGCCCAAACCTCAGAGACCTGAGTTCAATTCCAGGCAGGGCGAAACCTTGGGCAAGTTTCCTTACTCCACACGCCTAATAATAATCCCTCCAAAAAACCAAAAACAATAATTAAATTGGTCATTTTCAATCTACGACTGTTTGTGGGACACTGCTGTGCGCAATTGGCTGCCGCGTTCGCCCACAAATATACAGTCAATTCACTTTACAGTGTGTTCTGTGAAGCGCTTTGGGACGTCCTCCTGACGTGAAAAGCGCTATATCAAATGCAAGGATTATTATTATAAACGTAATTTTGTATTGTATTGTATATACACAAAGTATTTGCTGAACATATTCATAGCAGATTCACAATGAGGATCAAAACAGCCTACTTGGGTGTTTACTGAAAAATTTATCTACAACTTGATCAACTTCTATATTCATGTATGTTTCACATATGCAGTGTTTGAATTTCCCGCTGTCTGTAATGATGTCAGTATCCCCATGCCAGCATCATCACAAGCAGCAACCAATTTTAAAAAACTAAAAAAAATCTTTGGGCTTCTCTGTATCTATTGGAGCCTCTGTCTATCCCTGTTAGTCAGTGTCTTTGTGTCACTGACTGACATGGACAGACATAGGCTCCGATACACAGAGTTTTTGAACTTCCTAGACTGTAATAGCACTGTTATCTCCAAACCAGCATCTTTTTTTTTGGGTCATTACGGACAATTGGCGATTCAAATATAATATCTACCTTTAGTGTTGTGATAATACAGAAGGTAGGTATTAAAACTTTATTTCTGTGCTTCCAGTGATCTTTAAACATGATGAAAAATAGTTTAAAATAAAAATAAATATTCGTGCCCAAGACACATCACTATAAGATAGTTATCATAAGATTCTTTTAAAAAAACAACTCTTAAGTTCCGTGATTCATATATAAAATTATTTGCCTCTCTAAGCAGTCTCTTTTTTCCAGAGTAAGCAAACATTTTGGCTGATTCTCCAATAGTTTTACATATTGGACTATATTTTATTTACAATAACAACAACAAGATTACATTTGTATAGTGCTTTTCACATCGGGAGGATGTTCCAAGGCGCTGGACAGAGTACAGCATTTAATGCAAGTTTCAACAAAACGACACGTGTTCTGTGCTATGAGATGTTTATTAGCATTTTCACATGATGAAAATCTCTGCTCCATTCTCTCCCTCCCCACCGTTTTTCATGGTGCATTTCTTTTGTGGCATACAGCCAAGAAAGGAATCAAAGCTGTATTGCTGCAGCCTTGGTGCCACAAGCTTTTTTTTTAGGTGTTGCACCTGCTATAAGCACTCTCAAAAAAAACAATAATAAATTGGTCACTCAATCCACAACTGTTTGTGGGACGCTGTTGTGCACAATTGGCTGCCATGTTTCAGCCAACAAAATATACAGTCAATTCACTTTTCAGTATATTCTGTGTAGCTCTTTGAGCCGTCTAGAAGACGTGAAAAGCGCTATATCAAATGCAAGGATTATTATTATTATTGAATTGTCCTTGGTTTTGCAATTGTTTGTTTCTTGGGTTCCTCAAGTATCCCACTAATGCCTCTCACTTACACTCTCCCATGCATTTTTCAGGCAAGAAAGACAACTAATTTTAAATGATGCCTATACAGTTATGGCCCATACTGATCTGTTAATAGTTAACAAAAGTTGTGTTGGTCCCAGTGATAGCTTGAGTCACATGTCTAAGTATCCAAACAGACATGGCAGGAAGGTCCAAAGTGCCTCCAAAAATCAGTGTAGATTTGACATTCTGCCACAAGATTTTTGCTGGATGCAACGTCCTAAATAATCATACACAGTACTTAGGTTATTGTTACATTTTCCTGGAGGCAATGACAAGTGACTCTGAAGAAGATGATACTCCTGAGTCTCACCTTGCATTCAGTAATGCAGATATACATCAGGCAATCTAATGGTTCAAGAGACAGAGCACAGTAATTCAATCCATAGTTTGTGCTGCGTTCGTTGATCTCAGACAGGATGCAGGAAGCCAGCTACATTTATCTTCAGGACAATTTAAGCTACGCAGCAAAAAATCAACTTGAGTTCCCAATCCTGATTGCTTTCCAGTGACCCCCATTAAAAGGTGCAATGTAGACACTGGGCAAAGGTACAATCAGTCTAACATTGGGGGGCTTAAATTGTCCTTCAGCTGATCTGTAAATTTACAGATATATACAGTGAATACCATGATGAATTCACGCTGCCAAGATCCATAAAGGTACAATCCTTTGGAGAATAATCCATAAATTGTTCTTATATTTAAGAGCAAGGACTGTTTCTATGAGATTTAAGAACTGCAAAGAGAGTAAGAGTACAAGAGTATGATTCACTTTTTGACCATTGAGGAAGCTCTGCAAATTCCTAGTTCACTGTGGGCCTCTGGTGGCAGGGACCAAATAGTACAGTTTCGCCATCCTGGATTATTCCCTTTTATAAAATTACATGACACAGTGGAGTTATTATGTATGGATAAACAGTAATGATCTTTAAGATGTGGTAACAATCAGCAGGTAAAATCCTCCAATAAAAGAAATGCACAAGCAAAACAAGGAATGATTGATCCCTAACTTCAAATATACATACTTTGTTACAGTTAAATAATAGCAAATATTGTTATCAATTCGGTGGTAATTTGTGCCACTGATGCAAATTATATGATGCATTGTCTGAAATGCCTTCCTTCAAGTGAGATGTTACACCATCTGCCTGTTCTTCAATGGGTGTTAAAATTTCTGACACTGCTTTTCAAGATAAGAGAGTTTGTTCTGGTATCATGGCCAATAATCCTCGAGATTAATTGGTCATTTACATGAGTATGATAATGAGTGAGAACTTGCTAGTGTAAATGGATACAAAATCAGTCACTACCTTTGACAGTAATTACTATTGAAGTTATTTATTTATTACTTATTATTATTTTCTTATTTATATTTATTATTTATTTATTATAATATATAATATAATATATAATAATATTTACCATATATAATATATAATAACATTTATTATTTATTATAAATAATATTTATTACTTATTATTTATTACCGGGTTCAATTCCCGGAAGAGTGAAACCTTGGGCAAGTTTCCTTATTCTACTGGATGCCGCATTTCGTCCACAAAGTATATGGTCGGTTCATTTTGCAGTGTGTTCTGTGAAGCGCTTTGAGACGTGTAGAAGACATGAAAAGCGCTATATCAAATGCAAGGATTATTATTATATTATTACGTTGAAATGTTTCACCATGATAAGGTGCATTAAAAAGGCAAATTCTTTGACTCAACTACATTAGTACGTTCGGCTTTATTTTTGCTCATTCCTTCAATGCACCAACAAATATAATTTTGCAATCCTATTTTAGCTTTGCTTCAAAGCCAATCTCCTTGATTTAGACTTAATCAAGGTGAAATCTTCAAGTTCAACCATTGTCCCAGAGTCGCAGGGGAGGCACTAGGGTAAATAACAACAAGAAAGGACTACCAGGCACTGGATGATAAAGACCAGGACAGACATTTAAGAGGCAATTTTCTGCAGGAATGGAAAAAGGTAGGGTTGGTGTTCTGGAAGGATGAGATGGAATGAACGAAGATCAGAGATCATTTCATACACTATATATAACAGATGCATCCAGGCAAATATGTCAAAGTTTTTATTGTGGATTGTAATCTTAATTCTTCATTCAAAAGGGAAATTAATGCAAGATTTAGGTACTGTATGTTACAAACTGAAAGAATTAAAGGAACACTATTTATATATCATGTTACAGATTGGTACCAGACACTGACACTTCATTTCTAAGTGTAATGTAGTATTCACAGGAACATCTCACCCGCAAACATTGAATTAATTACCAATCAAAATTGGCAAATTTGTCAAAAATTATTGGATATCCCATTTTTAAAGATAAGGGGACTTAATTTTTTTTAAAAAATCATCTTAAGAGAAGATAACTATAATTCAGACTTTAGACCTTTAAGACTATTTTCCGTTAACTTGTCTGAACCAATTGCTCTGTGAGCAAAGGCTGAGGGTTTGCTCCTCCTTAAGTAGAACAGCTCAGACCATTGGACACTGGGTGTCCTCTGATATTTGTTAGAAATAAGCAGTACATGAACAGTAAGTTATAATAATAAAAATAATCTTTTTGTTTGACATTGATCCAATGTCTCAAATTGGATTTCCTGTAAAGTGTAGTAACTGTGTATTTGTAAGTGAACACGGCAGACAATTTTCACACAGTGATGTCCCATAAACAGCCATAGAGTGACTGACCAATTTTATTTGGGGGATTGTTGACCAGGATACCAGGAGTAACTATTTTCTCTTTTTGAATAATGCCATGGGATCTTTTAACATTCATCTTGTAGGCAGAAAAAAACTTTGTTTCATGTCACATCTGAAGAACGGCACCTGACAATACAGCGCTTCCCAGTACCAACCTAGATTGTGAGTTCAAGTTGGGTATGAACCCACAATTTTTTGACTCAGAGGCAGGAATGGAACTGAGCCAGATTAAGACTACTAATGGTCTCAATAGCCTTTCTACTTAAGGAGGAGAAAACTCAGTCTTTGCTCACAGAGCAATTGGTTCAGATAAACTAATGGAAAGAGGATCTAGACTATGGATGCTCAACAGGCACCAATGATTTTTGGTCAGGTAAGAGTCTGACACATCAGACATGCATCACTATGCTTAAGAGTATCCAAGTCAGAAGGAATTCTTGTGTGGAAATTTCCACATCTGGAATGATAAGCATACTCTCTCCATGCCCCCGGATTACCTCATCTCAAACAGCATTAGGTGCAGGTTCCTGGGGATCCCAGAGTGTGTATTTTGATAATGCTGGAAATTTCCATTAAAAGTGAATAGCTTGCCGTTGAGAACACTGTCTGGCAAGCTTCCCTCTGCTTGTCCAGCTCAGTCCACGCTGCCTGTTAGGGCTTTGACTTGTCGGTTAACAGGAGCTGAATGTGAAGAATCTCAGCTCCCAGTGAGCTACTCCGAGTGCTCCGGAGTACTGGGGAATCGCCTGGCTCAGGAACCGGACCACACAGACCACCACGGGGTTGATTAAGTTCTGGTGGGATGGGGTGAGGAGCAAGGAAACACGACCAACTGCGTGGCCAAAGAGGTAGGTCTGGAGACGGATCTCGAACGAGGTGCGGGAAGGAGCGAGTCGGAAGGACTCTGGGATGGAGGTCTGGAGGGCAGAGGGGCAAAGAGCTCGAAAGCCGGGCAGCCCCTCCCAGCAACGGACGTGGGGGCGGATAGGAAGTGGCAGGTGAAGCGCGGCGGGTGGGGGGGGTGGGGGCGGTGGTGGTGTTGAGGGTGGGGCGGGTCAGTAGAGTGTGCAGAGGTGGTGGGGCGAGTACACGTGACGAAAAGAGGGTGACAGGGAGTGTGAGGGAGTGTGTGTGTGGGGGGGGAGGGGTGTGCAGGCACGCACGCATGCGTGGTAGAGGGCCACCGCTGAGAGAGAGAGAGAGCGAGAGCGCGCGCGCGCGCGAGAGAGAGAGAGAGAGGCGACCACTTCACGTGAGCGGTAGGGGGTGGGGGAGTGCGCACGCGCGGTTAAGGGGTCGGCGGCGAGATGTCTCGAGAGGAGGAAGGCGGCCGCGGGCTGTCGGCGGTTGGTTCGAGTCCGGGGAGCGCGGGCGTCAGCGTCAGCCCGGTCCCGGGCCGGTGTCTCCCACAGCACAGCGGCGCCGTCTGAAACGCGCACAGGGCAACCGGCCGCTCTGCTCCCCCGCTGCGTTTTTATTTTAATTCTTATTTTTGGAGAGAGAGAGAGACAGAGAGGTGTGTGTGTGTGTGTGTGTTGTGCGCGGACGGGGCGGCGGCAAAGGTGATTTTTGTTTTCCGCGAAAAGAAAAGTTTTGGTTTTTTTTTTAAACGCGCATCTCGTCGTCGTCGTCGTCGCCGCCGCCGCGGTGCTGTCATGGGAGCTGAGAAACGGAAAGCGGGACCGGTGAAACCCGAGCGAGGGTGAGAGGCCGACCGATCCCACCCCCTTCTTCCTCCACTCCCCCCATCCCCATGTGTTGTGTGTGTGTGTGTGTGTGTTGGTGGGGGGGGAAGGCCCCGCTTGGAAATAGCCGCCGCCGCCGGGGCCCAAGCCCCGTTGACCGTTTACACACCGGCCCCGGCGAGGGCGGGAGAGACGGACATCAGCGCGGCCACGGTCTGCCGATGTGTCCGACTTCATTCTCAAGCCCCGACCAGAGCTCCAAACCGGCCATTTATTTTTATTTATATATATATATATATATATATATGTCGCAGCCACTTATCGTGTCGACACTGCGGCGTGTGTATTTTTATTTACAATTTGAGATAAATAAAAGCCTGTGTGTGTGTGTGTGTGTGTGTCCCGTCCCCTTTGATGATCCGAGAGAGACTGTCTGGCCACCGCCATCTTGCATCCAGTTTCCGCTTCCGACCTTTTTCTCCCCGTTTATTTCCACCACCACAGCCACCACACACTCGTTTTATTCTAATTTATTGTCCTTAAAGCGCTTTAAAAGCAGCTACTGGCGCTCTTATAAAACGGCGGCCAATCATTAATTTTTACACCTCGCAAGTCGGATGGTTATTTTCGTCTCGTCCGGAAATCACAGTCCAACCAGATCACAGTTTCTTTCGCAAGGGACGACTGAAGTTCCGATTATCCAAGAAACCTGTCTGCTTTATCGTTTAATGTCAGATAAAGCTGTGGGATTTAGTCAACTTTACTTTGACTAGGGCTTGTTTTAATGTTTAATTAGTGTTGAGACTGCAATGGTGTTGGCCTGTACGCAAAAAAAATGACTTCACGTCGGATGCAAAATTGTACTTCTTGGTGATAACTGCAGACTTGTGTGAAAATATCTGGACAAATTACTTTTAATTTGGAACTGACTCTGTAGCTGTATTATCGGTGAGGCAGAGGGATTCTGGGACGGAGTTCCAGAGGTTGGGGGCAGAAAAGCTGAAGACTTCCAGTGCAAAACCCGGTTCCTTTGCCAGTTCCTTCTCTCTGCCCGGCAATATCTTCTTTTTCCCACCGTCCTCAGTCTTTCACTCAGTCTCTGTGAAGTGCTTTTGAGATGTTTTCCTTTATGAAAGTCAGTACATAAGAGTGCAAATTAAGGGAAAGAATGCTCCAGAAATTAGTCTCATAAAAGTTATTATAAAATATGATTATGATAGTGCAGTCACTACAGATTTTAAAAGTTAAAATTTATTGTTGGCAAGATGTTTTGTTACAAATCAAGGTATTGGCCAGGAGTATTGTCTGCCATATTTGTCACTTATGGGGCATATTATTCTCAAACAGAAGTATGTATTTGGTAAATATTGTATTTATAGAATACCACACATGCTCCATGTGTCGTCTTGTCTATCATTAGAGTGAATGTTGTTTAAACCATTTTTTTAGGGTCAAGAATCAATATGGAATCAAAGCTGATGGTACTTCACCCAAAAGTTCATGTAATATTAGCAGTAAAGTTGCTAGTCAACTGTGGAAGATAACGACTGAGCCAAGCTCCCTTATAATAATCCTTGCATTTGATAAAGCGCTTTTCACGTCTTCTCGACTGTAAAGTGAATTGACTGTATATTTGTGGGCGAAACGTGGCAGCCAATTGCGCACAGCAGTGTCCCACAAACAGTCGTGGACCGAAAATGTCCACACATGCACACCTTCCTGTTCGGGTTTGGCTCATTAGAATTTTAAGTCTTTTCTCTCTAAGGTGATGAGGTCAATTGTTGTAGCCCAATTGTAGAAATACTCAATCTTTGCATTTGATGTGGCATCCTATCATTTTGTAGAGCTGTCTCAAAGCGCTTACAAGATTTACTGTGAATTGTAGTGACTGTATTTGTAGGCAAAAGCAGCAGCCTGTTTGTACAGCAATCTCCCCAGCCATAAAGTGAATGACCAACTCTATACTGGAGATTTGTTGGCCAGTGTTCCCTTCTTTTCTCAAGTAGTGCCATGCGATCTTTAATCTCATCCGGAAGAGGAAGTTTGGACCTCTGTTTAATGTCTCAACCAATGGACACCAACTCTGACAATGCATCGCTCCCCCAACATTGCATTGGTGTCAGCGTCGACCAAGTTCAAAGTCTGACGTGAATCACAGCCTTCTGCCTCTAGAGAGTTCTACCAACTGAGCGAGGCTGACACCTACTTGACTTACGGCATCCAACTCAGGACATATTAAAATTGGAGACTGCACCAGGCTTCGCGACCACATCACTCCCACCCTCGCTCGCCTCCACTGGCTCCCCATCCCCCAGAGGATCGAATTCAAGATCCTCATCCTCACCTACAAGGCCAGTCATGGCCTCGCTCCCTCCTACCTCTCTGACCTACTATCCCCTACTTACCTGCCCGTACCCTCCGTTCCTCTGGCTTCGGTCTGCTCCACATCCCCCGCCCCAACCGCTCTACCATCGGTGGCCGGGCCTTCAGCCTCTCAGCCCCGAGGCTCTGGAACTCTATCCCGCAGTGCCTTCGCCGCCTCCTCCCTTTCCTCCTTCAAGGCCGGTCTCAAGACCTTTCTCTTTGACCGTGCCTTCAGCTCCCCTCGCGACTCTCTACCCCCTCCTCGTTCCCTCCCTTCCCTCCCCTCACCCTGACCATTTCCCCCCTGCTCGGATCCTGACCCAACTGTACAGCGCCTTGGGACGTCCTCCCGACGTGAAAGGCGCTCTATAAATGGAATCTTGTTGTTGTTGTTGTTCTTGATTGTGAAGCTTTTACACACACAAACCAACTTTGGGTTGGTGTTGATTGAGGCCACTGGCAGTTTAGCAATTAGTTTTATTTGTTGCATATGTGAATTTACTGAAAGAGCAAAAGAACAAATTCAAGTGATTAGTGGAAGTTGTGTTCTTTTCCTCCAGGAAGACCAGGAAGGATTTCATTGTTAAATGTTTAGTTTCAGAGTAATAGTCAACTGCCACCTTCTCAACTTTATATGCATGGCATGAGGAAATGGGAGCAGAAAAAAATGCTTTACAATTAAACTTATGGAATTCTGCTTTTTCTACGTCCCAATTGTCAATTGATAAATATTTTATTTTTGAATTAATCACTTCAATGAAAATGACACTTCTGTACAATAAATCATTTTATTCTTTTTAACAGATTATCCCGGCGAAGAAATGGCTCAACAAGAGGCGAACCTTCAGCCAAAAAGCAGAGATTGGAGGATAAGGCTTTGTCGATTCAATTTAGAAAGAAGTTTGTGAAACCGTCACCTTTGAAATCATTTCAGTTGTCAATAGACAAAGGCAATAATAAAACACTCAGAAGAACAAATGTTAAGGTGAACAGAGCATCTGCTAAAACACCTACAAAGCCAAATGGGCAAGCAACAAAAACAATGGTAAAGGAAACAGAAAGAATGTCTGCAGTCATGAAGAAATCTACTAAGCCTTCACTTAAAAAAAGTGCATTACAGAAATCTTCCCACCAGAAAAAAAACGTAGACCGTACTGTATCAAAGATGAAAGTATTACCTGAAAGGAAAGTTACAAAAAGGCAATGCACTGGTAAAGCTGTCAGTAAAGGAGGCTCTGACAAGGTTTCACGGACAAGGCTTCAGAGTAGTAGAATTTCTCAGTCACAAGCTACTCGGAAAGATCTACGTATATCCAAAGAGAGCTCCTCAAAACAAACCTCAAAAATTGCGTCATCAAAAAATTGTTCTAAAAGAAAACTTACGCGAAACATGAATAAACAATCTCAGAAAAAATCTCTTCGAACCATGGAAAATTCTTGCTTAAGAATTACAACAGACACCAAGAAATCTAAGAAAACTGTCAAGTCTAAGAGTGATATCACTAAATTTAAAACTGAAAAGAAAAATGTGAAACCTTTATCAGTAATTGTTAAGAATATTAAGAAGCGGGCTGTAAAAAAAACTCTGAAACCTGTGACTTCAAAAAGTGGACTTAGAAAACAATCAACTTCTCACAACAGTTCTAAAAATGTAGTCAAATTTGATGAAGGTACTTCAGAAAAACTTTCTGAGAAGACACAACATAATGTGAAATCTGCAAAGAGGACACAGCAAAAAAGGGGAACAAATTCATCGGTGCAACCTGTTACGGTGAAGCAGGAGCTTATTGAAACCGTGAAACCTCAAACCAGATCTAGTCGAGGCACTTTAAAAGAGAAAATTCAGCAGGTGGTAGATTCTAAATTAAAATCAGTGACTAAGCAAATCCAGAATAAAAGGCAAGTGAGATCATCACAGAGACTGAATTTGACTCTTCCACTTTCAACAAGGTCTACCCTTCCTATAGGCAGAAAATCCAGTACAATTCCTCATCAAACAAAATCAGTAAAAAGGAAATTGAGTGACTTATCTTCCAAACATTCTGAGGCTGTATCACCATCGGAAAAAAACTGTAATAAATCTTCAAAGACAGGAGAAACAAAATTATATCCTAAACATGGAAGCAAAACAAAACTGGAGAAAGTTAAGCAGACTCCCAAAGAAAAGGTTTTAAAGATATCATGCACTAAAGGTGCAGGTAAAGTTGAAATGGAGAAAGCAAGCATTCCTAGTGTTGAGAAGACATCTGAGGGTACAGAAATTGACATAGAAAAAAAATCTAGTACACTGGTTTCTTCACAAGAACATTCTGAAACAAAAGTTAAAAGGGATGCTTCATTGCAAAGTGATGGACAAAAACTGGAAGAGAAAGGTCCAGTTCAGAAGCTAGCAAAAGTAACCAGTGACAACGCTAAAGAAAAGAATGGAGTAAAATCAATGAATAAAACTATAAATGCTTCAGGACAGAAAAGAGTGAACCACTCTTTGAAACAACATCTTCATCCTTCAAAACCATCACACAAATTGAAATGTAAAGCTAGCAAAAATAAAATATGTCCTAAAAAAGTAGTGGAAAGTCCATCTCTGCAAACTGAAGATGATGCAAAATGTAAGCGTCAAAGTATTCTAGAACTGTGCGAAGAAATTGCAGACGAGATAGCTTCTGACACTCTTGATGCTTCAGTGAAGACAGAGCCCACAAAAATAGAGAATGAAAATGTCCAAAAAGAACCCGAAGCCATTATACCAGAGGATGTTAAGAAAAAAACACAGTCTAGGGTGACATTTTCCAGCCTTAAAAAATTCAAATTTTCAGGACAAAAATGTGCGAAACGTAAATTAATTGAGCATAATAAATGTATGAATACAAGATATAGTTTACAAAAAGGAAATAGTTGGACTAGAATTAAGCAAATTAAAACTGATCAGAAAAAAATAAATGCCATTAAAACTATCCAAAAGCTTAAAAACTTGGAATTAAAGCAAGCAGTTTCACAGGTAGTAGTTCAAACAGTTAATAAAACAATTGAGAAGGAGAAATTGCCTAATGGGGTGCCTACGGAAACCAAAGAAGAAAATGGTGTTACTTGTGAGCAAAATAAATCTAAAAATGTATCTTTTCGAAAGGAGCTTGGAAAAGGTACTCTTAATAGTAAAAATATATCTGAAAATAGCACACCTGAAAAAGTCAAGAAGCTAATAGAATTATTCTACAGAAAAGATGAGCCAGAGGTGCCAAATGTGGAAGCTGAATCTGAAGCAGATGAGGTATTTTGTATGTAATGGAAGAAATGTGTGTATGTATTAATGTGTATAACTTTAAAACAAAATTGGGTTATTTTCACCTTTCCCAGCTACAGAATACAGATCTTGTTGGGTTTCCCTTGTGGTTATGATGATGGTTATCATAAAAACATTGATTTTAGTCTAGAACACTGTTGTACCAGACAACATTGTTGTGTACCATTCATAATTCCTGGTTTAGATGGAACTCATTCCTCAGTTCATATTTGCCTTTGTTTACATGAACTCAGTTACACTCATATCATCTTAACTCTTGCCTGATACCCATATCTGTTGATTTGTCTGATTAAGTGGACTCAGTTACATTTTTTTAATTATCCCGTATTTTAAAGATCTCCACTTAATTTCTCAAAAACTTCCAATTGTTATAAAAACCTTCCTGCTTTTTATTGCTCTTGAGTGGTCCCTGCTGGAAAGTATGCATGTCTAAATAGCAATTGAGAACAGGGTAGGTTTTAGCTGGTGTTTTGTATGGGTAATTGTACAATGCCCCACCTGGTACTGAAACTTTCTTGTGTTTGTCTAGCTCCAATTGGTTCAAAGACTGTACCCTCAATAGTCCTAGGTTAGTTCCTCCCAGTAATGTATGCCAGCAGAGCAGTTTAGTTCAGGATCCAGGAATGAAATGAAAACGATGATTCCATGCTAATATACAGAAAACACTGAGTTGTATTAATATCTGTTAACAGCTTATGTTTTATTCTTCTAAGCTTGTGTCCGAGAGGAGTATTTTGGGCCATTTAATGGGGTAAAGGATTTCTGGTTACTGTTCTGTCACTGATGATGAAAGTGATATTTAAGAGGAAAAGAGCGTTTTGTAGAAAATCACCAGTTCAATTTACAGACTTGTTTTTGAGTTGGTATTCCAAGGTAATAAGATCCAACTTCAAGTCGAGGTTTGCAAGATCAACTATCTGTTTCCATTACTAATTGCCTCTGGAGATAAACTAATAATGTAAACACTGTGCAAAGTGGTTTAGATTTTGTGTTGTGGATTCATCAGCAGTGGGAATTAGATTGAGACTGCCTAAACTTATTTCAAGTAGGGTTTGTATACAACTGAGGTGATGTCCAGCTCAATTTGGTCTATTTTAGTTTGGTTCACAAAGGTGAGAGTGCTAACCCATTGCTCTCAATTCCTTTAACCTTTTCAATATTGATGGTTTCCTTGACCAGCATACCACTGTTCCACTTTGAATTTTTGTTTTACATTTGTCCTAAATTGTCANTTTTTTAGAAAGGTGCATAATAATCTATTGTCTTTTCATGATTTGCAAAATGAAGTTAAAATTGCTGTCATTTCATCTGAAATAGATTGTGCTTTCTTCAGAGTTTTAGGTTGCATTTGGAATCAAGTCCTGATTGTAGTCCGATGAAGGGAGTTACTACAGCACCAGTGAAGGAGAAATTGGAGAGTGAAGTGGAAGGTACAGCAAAATAACTGCAGTATAGGAGGGTACAAAAAATTGTGCTATTCTATTTATGGTTATATTCTTAGTATAAACTTTCTGAACACCAGTGAATAACATTTAAATCTTCAATTTATGTTCAAGGCGTGTGGTAGTATGGAAAACATTTCTATTTCAGGCATCAAAAAATCCTAAATTAGATAGATTACAACTAGAATCAAAGTGAAGTTCCCTCTCCTCTGCTCAAATGTTGCGACATAATACTAACCCGAAAAGAGCACTTCATATACTATTTTCCTTGCATTCTGTGATCACTTGGAATGAGAGTGCTAGTTGATGCCAAATTAGTCAGTTTTGTACCATAGACTGACATCCATGTAGTTGGTTTGAATGTACTCGGACTCATTTTATGGTGGACAATTACAACCGGCAAAGGGTTCTGGACTACACTAACTTTTCACTCAACGTTCTGGAGGTAGAGTCGGCTTCACAATGGGCACATCTCTTTACCAAGGCCTCTCACAATTAAGCAATTGGTGTTGAGTAAGCATAAGATGTGGATCTTGAGAACACCAACCTTGCAGGCACATCATAAGGCACAGGGATGTCCTGTTTAGCCTTCTACCTGCTAAAGGCAGATATCTGTTAAATAACTGGAGTCCTGTAGCTCAGTGGTTGAGCACTCGCTTTGCAAGCAAGAGACCTGATTTCAATTCTAGGCAGGGCGAAACCTTGGGCAAGTTTCCTTACTCCACACAGAGCCTAATAATAATCCCTCCAAAACAAAAAAAATAATAAATTGGTCATTTTCAATCTGTTTGTGGGACACTGCTGTGCGCAATTGGCTGCCGCGTTCGCCCACAAATATACGGTCAATTCACTTTACAGTATATTCTGTGAAGCGCTTTGAGACGTCGAGAAGACGTGAAAAGCACTATATCAAATGCAAGGATTATTATATTATAACTGATGAAAAAATTCTGAAGCTTGTGACAGCGGTTGCTGGCAAATGTCACCTGAAGTCTAGGGTTTGAACACGTGCTCAATTTCTATGGTTTTGTACTTACTGATTGGTATGTGAATGTTAAGCAGCTGCTTCTGAAGTTCTAAAATTCCAACTATTAAAACCATTGCTCAATGAGTGGGCAGGCATGTCTGAGCTGTGAACAGAAGAATGGTAGCAATGCTCTCGTGCATTTCATCCTGAGTTATGCTGCTCACCAAGAAGATTGTGAGGAGTTCCTATCACGTGCTAACCACCTAGCGAGGGCTTAACCTGTGATTGATGGATTTCTATTGCCCACCTCATGCCTATTCTTGGGGCTGAGTTGGCTCCAATGTGACATGCCTAGCAATGGAATATCAGCATTGAATCAATCTTGTAGTATTGGTAGTCCGATTCCTGAGCCACTGGGATATGTCAGGGCACTGTTAAGAGAGTTGCCACTGTCAGGGCAGCTTGGCTTGTCAGTAGTACTTGAAGAGGCAGATACATCACTGGGTGCATGTATTCTTCCCACTCAATTCCCGTTAACCCTGCAATCCGAAGCCCTATCAAGTAATGTGGAGAAACAGTGGGAAGTTTGACAAATAGTGTACCTGATAGCAAGTTATGCAGTTCAGCTAATTAAACTGCAGCAGCATCCCAGCACACTGCAGAGATCCCAAACTTTGGCTCCTACTAACCTGCACCTAATGCTTTGTGGAAGTAAAGGGAATCAGAGTTTGTCCCTCTGGGGATAAGAGCGAGCATTCCGTTTCCAGCTGACAAAAAAACAGCAAACAGAAAATGTCTTGCCATCAATTTGAGCTAGGTTCCAACCAAGAGCCAAGAGGTGAAGATAAAAGGGTGCTAACCAACTGGTGTCTAGCTTTCCTCAAGTTAACCTTCTATTTCCTCATTTTGTTTTAATTTAAACCAATTTTAAACATTGTCAGGAATCTCGTGCTGCAGACCCGGAGATAGTGTGTTTTTTGAACTTTGTACATATTCAATTTTCTCATACATGTTTCAATTTTACTTTTCCTTCATGGCTAATTTTTAGGCCAGTAGAAATATCTTGGCAGCTCAAATAAAATGTCCTTTTTATTTTTGTTTGAATAATACTGTAGTGTCAGCACCCATGGAAACCATACGGGCTCTCTTCAGCAGTCCAGGTTCATCAGAGAGAAATAATGAAAGGTAACTTGAAAGATTATTGTGATGGTAGTTATGACTGCTTGGAATTATGCCATTGATACAAGTGTTTAGAGAATCTCTTATTTACTTAAATAATTTGGTTGTGTGTTCCACACGATTGCTGTTTCAGTGCCTCTTTGGGTTTTACCAAAGTGCTTGACATAGTTAATAATGCAGTTCTTCATCATGCTTGCTTTAAGTACCACACAAGACTTTACTAGGATGCCTCAGTTTTCATATGACACCACACAAATGAGTTGTCTTGAGTGTGGTTGGAGTTGTTAAGCTCCACCAATGTTGAGCACTCGGTATGCTACCACCCGTGAGGGCACTATATGAATGCAAGTTGTTGTTGCTATGGAGTACTTCCACTTAAACACAAGTTCAAGACTCTGATCATATCTGGAACCATATAGTATCAGTGCTAAAAGGCTTAAATTTAAAATCAAACAGGACTGGAGCTGTGAAATAGATGCAATAAAAGCAATTTGATGTCCAGTTTAACTCTATTATAGGTGTCAGTTTTGTTCAGTTGACAGCACTTTAATCCAGTTGAAGAGTTTAGGCTTCCTAGCCCATGATTGTATTTGAGCTCAGTCTAGGCTGACATTCTAGTGCAATCTTGTGGGGTATGCTGTTGTTACAGATGTTGTCTTTTCAATGAGAAATTAAGCTGAGGTATGCTTGTTTAATTGAATGTTAAAAATTGCAATACACTAGTTGAAAATGATTTTTTTCACTACTGTTTGTGGGGCACGGATATGCGCAATTGGTTGCCGAGTTTCACCCACGGGATATACATTGATTCACTTTGCAATGTATTCTGTGATGCGTTTTGAGACATCTCGGTGACTTGATAAAGAGCTATGTCAAATGCAAGGGTGATGATTATTATTACAGTTTCTCCCAAAATCCTGGTCAAGCTTTTTTAACATGAATTGTTCATTCACATTGTAGCTGTTTGTCTGCACAAATGTCTCCCACTTTTCTGTGAAAAGACAGTTGCTACAATTGAATGTAATTATTTGACAAGCTTGCGATGCTTCAAAGTGATGGGTGCTATGTAAATTCTTTATTTTATTGAAGAATATCTGCAGACTGCATTTCATATTGAGAGGCTATCCCAAAGCACTTTACAGGATATACTGTAAAGTGCAGTGACTATATTTTGTGGGTGAAGATGAATTAATACTCCATAGAATGCAGTTTTTCTGTGCTGCTGAGGTCTAATGGGTTAGAGAACATTATCTATGGAGGGATAGAACTTTATGATGGAGCTTATGGTTGAAGAGATGTGAAGATGGATGAATACTCTGGAGTTTTTGGTTGGGAATGTTTCCCCAGGAGATTGAGGGTGTAGTGGGGAGTTCTCAATTGGATGATTTTTACTTTAATGCAAAGAGCATTATCTTCCCATTCCATGCTATGTTCTTATTTGATTTTTTTAATTTGCTGTTCATAAAGTAGAATGGAAGTAAAAGTTGATTGAACACCTCCCTCTAGTGGTTGTCCCTGTTAAGCATCTACATTTTCTTATGGCTCATTGAGCCTGGTTGCGGTTGCCAATCCGGCGTCAGAATTTGTTTGATGTCTTGGACATTTGAAAAAGATTAGCATGAATGTCGATTTGGAGAAGAATGTAAACATCAACTTGCTATCCACAGAATGTTATTCACTAATTTGTGTGAAACCTATTTCTGAAAAGCAAAATTTAAAATTTGGGAATAGATAAGCAAGCTATTTTGATAACCAACTTTGGTAAACGATTGTAATTTATATTTTTTTATTTCAAAGGTCTCTTGTATTTGATCTCTTTGGGTGGAAATAAATGGGAACATTTCAAAATCTCTAAAAATTGCAAAGTGTGAATATGGAAATCTTGTTATTCCAATGCAGTAGTTAACGTGTACCAAGTAGGATGAATTGTACTACTTCAGTTAAAGTGTGCAATAGTCAAGTATGGTTGTAAGCAAGGAAAATATTGTATACAAACAAAACTCCCTTCTAATCCCTATTCTCTGTCCGGTTTGTTTCCTGGACTGCACACCAGCTTTCTGATGGTCATTTGACAACTTGTGGATTTGGTGCTGTTCCTTCTCCTTAATAAAACATTATTAAAAGGCAATGCTATCCTAGAATTTTTAACTTGAATAATTGTTAAAGTCCTTATTAAATTTATCAGTACAGCAGCTTTAATGGGGAATTTGAATTAATTTTCTGGATGTTGACATAACTAGCTAAGGCAGCTGGGAACACAGCAGAGGCATTTAAACATTGATTTGAAAATTGTCGTCGTTCCCCCCCCCCCCCCCCCCCCCCCCGGCTCGGTATCCAACCCCATGTTAGCAAAACCCTTGAATGTTATCCTTCGTAAAGGGTGCTATATAAATGCAAGTTATTGTAATATCAATATGTCAATTGCTTTTCCATCTTTCTTTCAGTGTACCTTTGTCCAGTCAGCTCACTGAAGCGAAGAGTATTGTGGTTGCCTCTGATCTTTCTGTACAGAAAGAAGTCAAACCAGTGAATGATACAGAGAGAGGTGGGCTTCAGCAACTGACCATTGTAAGTCTTGTAACAAATCAAGCGTAGACCAATTCAAGAGGATGATTGTTTATCAAAAAAATTATTTTTGAAGTATTTGTTTTGAATCCAATCTATTAAATATTGTGTGGTACTGTCTAGCAAAGTGTGAAAGGTTGGTAGCAATATCAGAAGATTATGGGAAACAGTAGTGAGTATGTTCAAAAGAACATTCCTTTGTAATTTCAGTGTGAAGCTCCCATCTGCAGCTGCAGAAATACATTGGACTATAATTGCTCCCTCTTAAGATCAACTGTAAAGCAAAACGGAGTGGACAACTTTTTTTATTTTGGCGTAAATATCCCTTTTTTTGTTCAGTTGGGTATCTGATGTTGTGGAACCCATCACCATGCTTAATAGAATCCAAATCAGACTGATAAATAATCCTTGCGTTTTGATACAGCACCTTTCACATCTCATTTAGTGTAACCTACCATATGATGGCACTGGTACGCTGTGCAAATTCGAGCAAGTATTCTTTTTGTACCTCTGTAAACCTTTCAGCAGCCAACTTGAATGTGTAATGATAGATGCTAGAAGCAAGTTGGCAGCTCTCTCTTACCTGGAGGAAGAGAGAGAATTTTTTATCAAAGAAAAAATGTGCTTAAATTACTTACTTAAAAAGTAGCCTTTTGCTGATTTAGTTCTAAATTTTTAATTTCAACAAGTAAAATTGTATGCTGCTTATTCTAAGTACATTTAATTGCCCTTTCCATTTGTCAAGGAATATGAGCAAAATGATACATGATATACATTTTAGATGTATTTATTCCTCCACAGGATGCTGGGCAGAAAAGGATTGGAGCCGTTTCCTGTGCTATCTGTGGAATGCTGTATGCAGCATCTGTTCCAGAGGATGAAGCCCAGCACCTTCAGTTTCACAAACGTTTTATTAGTGCTGTAAAATATGTGGTAAGTTTCTAGCACCCCAGAAACAATTGTAGGGTGTTGAGCTTCTTAACAAAATCGGGCTGCTACACCTCCATTAACACAATGGATTGCAATTATCCCTTTCAGTTTACCTTGGCTGAGCATGAAGCAATTTAACAAGGTTGTTCAAATGACATTGGACATGTGCTGCAGAACTACAGGAAATAACTCCAGGGTTAGATACATTTCTCCTAAGACCTGGAATTTCAGAGGAATGTTGGGAGCAGGAGCTAGGGTGCAGTTAGAAGAAAACACTTAGAATAGATGGAAAATAGTTAAAAGAAATGTTTAAAAACATTAGAGTAATAAAGTTATTTCTGTTTTTTGACTAGCTTTGTTTATGCAGTTTATTTTTTTTTAGCATAATGAGCTGAAAAAGTGCAGAGCTGGTCAGTACCAAATGTGCAGAGAGTGTATGGCCTCCTCCTTGTCCCCCGAATCTTCCGCTCCACCATCGGCAGCCGTGTCTTCAACCACTACACCCCGAGGCTCTGGAACTCCCTTCCTCACTCCCTTCGACTCCCCCCCGCTCTTCCTATTTTCAGTTCTCGGCTGAAGACCTTTCTTTTCGACTGCGCCTTTGGTCACTTTCCTCCCCCGGCTCAGCCCAGGGATCCGTTACTGTGAAGCGCTCTGAGACACTGTCCGGCGTGGAGGGCGCTATATAAATCTAAGTTGTTGTTGTACCCATAGATATTCATTGACTTGCCAGCACCTATGGCTTGAATATACATTTGATTAGGCAGCCAAAAGTGTTACATGTTCATGTTTAGCTTCCTTCAAAATACAGTCACTTCACTACAGTAATTCTTGTAAAGTGCTTTGAGGAGGGTTCATTGACGTGTGTTTTCACTGGCCCAACCTTATCACCCCACCCCCATCCTTGCCCAACTCCACTGGCTTTCCATCACACAGAGGATATAGTTCAAGATGCTGGTTCTCACCTTCAAAGCCCTCCACGGTCTTGCTCCCCCATACATCTTCGACCTCCTAATCCCCACCACCCTGTTCACTCCCTCTGCTCAGCGGGCTCCGACCTGCTTCACATCCCCCACCTTGCTCGCCACACTATCGGCGGGCGGGCTTTCCGCCACTCTTCACCCACCCTCTGGAACTCCATCCCGCAGTCCCTCTGTCTCACCCCCTGCCTTGCCACCTTCAAGTCTCTCTTCTTCGACTGTGCTTTCGATCTCCCTGCTTCCACCCTCCCCCACCCCGACCCTCAGCTCGGGTCCGTAACTCTGTCTGTCCAGTGCCTTGGGACGTCCTCCCAAAGTGAAAGGTGCTATACAAATGTAATTTTGTTATTGTTGTTGTTTTGACCTCCTTATCAGATCACATTAAAAAAATTGACAGGCTCCCAGGCAGCTATTGTATTGTCAGTCTGCACAGCTGGCAGCATTCTTACCTCTGAGTCAGAAGTCTGTGGTTCAAGCCTTGCATCAACTTTGGAACTCATAGTCTCGGCCAGGAGTCTACAACTGGTTGATCACGATTGACTTCATGGAATGTCAACTTCTTGGCCTACCAAAAGCCTGCACCAGGCCAGGCAAATCTGCAGCAAATCAATAGCAGGTTTCCAGTAGCTATTGAGCTGCAATACCCATAAATAACTGCATTTGATAAAGCGTCTTATCACATCTTTGAGACGTCTCAAAGCGCTTCACAGAATATACTGTAAAATGAATTGACTATTTTGTAGGTGAAATGCGGCAGCCAATTGCGCACATCATTGTCCTGCAAACAGTCGTGGATTGAGTAACCAAATTTTTTTAACCTATTTTGAAGGAATTATTACTCCCGGAAAAGCGATCCCCTAATAACCGTGGCCAATAAATGGCCATCAATGAAGAAAAATTCAATAAAGAAAAATGTATGTGATTGACTGATCAAAAAGGCTACTATTGGTCTAGGCAGACTCCAGTGCAGTGTGGGATGTGCTGCATTGTTAGAAATACCATCTTCTAACTTTTACATAAATATTTGAAGGGGAAGAACAGGGAATTCAAATAATTAGCAGAATAACCCCAACATGGACTTAGCTATTGGTCACGCAATCCACAAATGTTTGTAGGACACTGCTGTGTGTAATTGGCTGCATTTCGCCCACAAAATATACAATTCACTTTGCATGAATTCTATAAAGCACTTTGAGACAAAGACGTGATAAAGCAATATATCAAACGTAAGGATTATTATTACTATTTTCTGGCACATTGCATGCGGTACTTTTTTCCCCCTTAATTTAGTATATAAAAAGCAGTACAAAAAAGGATGCTCTACAAATCCAAAGTGCGTCTTTCCCAACTATGATGAATAAAGGTTAAGAAAAATTATTTTTTAAAAATTCCAGTCAAAGCCGTCTGAAAAATCATCGTGTTTGGTTTGTATTGGTGGAAAAGCACTTTCATTGAGTGGGACAATTACTGGGGAGTTCTTAGTGATCTTTTGATCAACTGCTGCTTATAGCATTGGGCTGGATGTTTGAGTTTTATTTAAATGCACCAAAACTACAGTTCTCACATTTGCATAAAAAGATTAGTGGATTTTTTTTAACTCTTTGTGATCTTCCATCAGGGCTGGAAAAAGGAGAGAATTTTAAGTGAATATCCTGACGGCAAAATAATAATGGTTCTTCCTGATGATCCTAAATATGCTCTGAAAAAGGTAGATATATTTTTCTCCATCACTGCAACTTTCTGCCACATCCATGTACTTGGGAACAAAATTCAAGGCAATCATTTTAGAGTGCAGGTTCTCATCATTAATTCGGCAAGACTTCAAGAATTCCACAATGCTGTGGGTATAATTTGGTTTTGTTTTAGTTTCAAGTGACCTATTAAACCTGATTACCTTATATTAACTTTGTTTTAACAAAAACCTAGTACATGCTGTCCATGCCCTACCAGCACAATATGTACAAACAAGTTCATTAAAATGTTCAAAAATTGAGCAGTAACTTGGAATAATTGTTCACATTTTTAGCTTCGGTAAATTTGATCCTGTAGTTAAACTCTTCATGGTAGCAAGCTTAGAATCATAGAATATTACAACACAGGAGGCCATTCAGCCTATGGTTATTTTAATTTACTCTAAGGTTTTTCTCCTTTATTATAATTGTCCTTTATTTGAGCCTCAATAGATGACCTAATTAAAACTTAAATGGATATTGCTTTACTTTGATTCTACAAATCTTGCTATGTAGGGTGGCTTAACTTAAATTGCTGTTGAGTCTAAAACTCCTTTGCAGACCAGCTGTTTTTGTATGTAGTAATGGTAAAGGTGGAATCGGTCGGTCAACTCCAAAGATTGTTAAAACTAATGTATGAGTGCTGATAACAAATTGACTTGTCTATAGCAATTAAAGGTTTACAAAATGTGCAAAAGGTTTGTTTGGGAGAAAAAATTATTTAGCACAATGGAAAAAAGTGGTGCAAATTTAAGGACATTGGTCTTTTAATTGTGTATCATATATAAGTCAATCGTGCACATAAACACAGACCTAATAAAAGGGGAAAATGTGTTATAGATTTGTATATTAAGACTGACACTTTCTTGCAGGTTGAAGAGATCCGTGAAATAGTTGATAATGACCTTGGATTTCAACATGCAGAACTAAAGTGCCCTTCCAGAACAAAAACACTTCTCTTCATCTCCAATGACAGAAAAGTAGTTGGCTGTTTAATAGCGGAACATATACAGCGGGTTTGTATTTTTAAAATAGTTTTATGCAGTTCATTTGAATTTACATAAACATGGAAACTTATATTGGGTAACCACTTTTGTGGAAAGATGCAAGGCAAGTAAGTGGCTAAACTGAATTGTATATAGTGTCATTATATGTCAGAATATTTACAGCACAGAGGAGCCATTTGGCCATTTTATCCCCTGAAGTTACCTACTGCAATCCCCTGCTTTTTGGTCACGTCCAATAATATTTATTTTGTTGTATTATTAACTGTCAATTGCCTAACTCCAAATAATATTGTTCAACAATGGAAGTATTATAAAAACTGTGGTTGAGATTTATAAATAGTTATGTTCAATTTAGAACCTGTTTTTCATTCAGGGTTTCAAGGTCATAGCTGATAAGACTTCACAGGAATCAACAAATGATGCAATTATGCTTGAAAGCCAACGAGCTTGGTGCTGTTCAACCAATGCTGAACCAGCAATCTGTGGAATAAGCAGAGTATGGGTCTTCAATCTAATGCGGAGGAAGGCAATTGCTACTAGAATGATTGACTGTCTCAGGTGAGTGAGAATACGTGGGTGCAATGTGGTGTATTTTTGTCTTCTAATTATGGACCCTTTTTTTCTTCCCTTCCCTCCTGAAGGAATTTTTTTTCCACTGGAGAACACTAAACATTAAAAATCAAAATGTGAAAGCATTGCAAGAGTGATCTTTTGAAACTGTTATAGTTTCCTCAGACTTTAATCCTATCGCAAATAATGAAAAACTGATTCATTACAGCCACATTGGCCAATTCTAGTTGACTTCCATCCTTCCTAAATAGATTAAATGCAATTCAGTTATAGTCCTGTTGAAAATAACTTCACAATGCTGGAATAAGTACTTGTCTGAAGTAAGATGAAACCACAACAATCCTTAACCTAAATGCATGTGGTACAGTGTGTTCTGAGTATTATGCTGCTCTTCAAATCCAGCACCAGAAACCCAACTAGAAGCAGTTGGTATCAATCAATGAAATAGACTACTCGCTTTCTAACTATCATAGGTTAGACTCTGATATGTATATAGATTGCATCATTGAAGCAAGAAAAGTAAGTTGGAAATTTGATTACTTGAGGTATGTTTTAAATCGATTTGTGATTTGTTGGGAACAGGATATCTGACATGTGTGCCACTTGTATTATCTATCTACTTCACAGGAGCAATTTCGTTTATGGGTCATACTTAAGTAAAGAAGAAATTGCATTCTCGGATCCTACTGCGGATGGTAAACTCTTTGCGACCCAGTATTGTGGAACACCCAGGTTCTTGGTGTATAATTTTGTTAGCTGACCTTGCACAGATGGATGAAGCAGACTTCACAACCACCAGTGATGAAGTCTACTTGATAAAGCCTCAGGAAACTGATACAATTATGAATTTGTTCGCTGTTCACAAGTTTCAGGAGTTGAGATGTAAGAACTGTACAGTTACTTTTATTACAGTTAACTCAGGACCGATAGCTAAATGGTTGCTTATATTTTGGAAAACTGGAAAGGATGCAGTAATATTTGACATTGTTTGCTTTGTATTTTAAAATGGACATTGGTTTTAACAGTTTTTAGAAATGAAGCATGCCTTTTTACTTTGTTAGTTACGCTAACAAATTTTACAATGTTTTCTGTAACACAGAACAATTGAGTTGTAAAAATTTTGAATTTCTTACACAATGTATATAAAATGCAGTGGTATAAAAATTAAGAGAATTGTTTTGGTTTTTTAAAATAAACTGCTGTGGCCTTCCTGGTCTGCATTTATTGTAGAGTGAATAACTTGCAGCATTGAATGTTTTTTTGAGAAGGAAATTGAGATGTGATGTATCGGTTATTGTGAGGTTGTTGCTTGACATGAATTTCCTGGCAATCTTTCAGGAGTATCTTGCAAGCAACAAAAATGGTGACTAAAACTACTTTTAAAGTTGTGATATGAATTGTTATATTCTGTGNTTTTTGTCTATGAAAAATGTTCCCATTACTGTCTGTTTGCTAGGCAAATATGCATAGAAATGTTCTCTGGGCAGGTTCGAAATGTAATACCTCATTCAGTACTGATGTAAAGCCAAAATATTTGGTGGTCAAGATGATTGATGAACTTATTTTGGACAGAATTTGGTTTTTAAAATTGCCTACAATAATTTGTATAAACTGATAACAGTGCCTTTTTCACTATAGGTCAAACTGGGATTGGATGCAATTTGATTAACTGTTTTTACTCTTATTTGGGATGACAAAATCATTGGAGCAGGAGGTGGAAAAACATTATTTTGAAATTTCAAATGAAAGGATTATTATAAACTTTGCACTCTGTGCCAATACTTATCAAAATTCCAATTTTACCTTCCTTTGCGTATTTTTGGGAGCCCATATTTTGATTAGAGAAAAAGAATCGTGAAAAGGTGAGGATATAAGGATGACCTGACTACAACAACAAATTACACTTGTATACCAACCTTCACGTCGGAAAAACTAGTAGTTCTTTCATGAATTACCGATCAATGGTTTTGCCAGGATTAAATGTATTTCTTTCAACTTAGTTCGTTTTTCATTAGATCCTATTTAAAATCAAAAACTAGGATCTTGTTTTTATAAATAACTAGTGCATCAGAATTTGAGGTGCAAAAATGGAGGTGAATCCAGCATACCTACTAATCATAAAGGGGTGATCATTTGTTTTGTAAAATTACGTTTGAAAAATCTTCTGCAAAATCAAATGTATATTGCCAACTTTCGCCTTTCACATCTTCGCCAACACCCCATAGAGGAGTCTGGGACATTTTTTAAAAGATTGTAATTTTTTCTGAACTTTAAACAATGGAAAGCTAATTTTTTAATTTTTAACTTTAAAAAGAAGTTTATATATGATTAATTATGGACAGTGACCTAATTTACCTTAGGATACAATGGCATTTAGTAATATGATTGTGATGGGATTTAATCACTGCATTAAATTTGTTCATCCTTTAAGTTGTATAATATGGAAGCATTGAAGGCATTGATTGATTCTTGGGCACTGCATATCTTATTTCTGTACTACACTTTAAGGCAGGTATATTTTCAAATGCTAACTTTTGCTAATTATTTCTGCAGTTCATTTTTGTTTCCAAGTATGACAAGTAAATGGTTTGTTTTTATTTGTTTTAAAAGTTTTGGTAATTGTTACTTTTTAAGAGAATTTAAACTTTTTTAAGGCTAGAGAGGTGCTGAAGTGAAAAGTAAATACAGTAGCTGTGTATGTTGTTGTGTATATATATATATATATATGCGGCCCACAGCACTGAAACAGCTTTGGTCAAAGTGACAAATGACATTTTGTCCATCTGCGACCAGGCCTCTCTCTGCCTCCTCATCCTCCTCGACTTCTCTGCTGCCTTCGATACTGTTGACCTCTATCCTCCTCCACCGCCTCTCCTCTCTCATCCTTCATGGTTCTGTCCTCGAATGGTTCAGATCCTACCTCTCACACAGTCTCCACTTCATCTCCACAAATGGTTTCTCCTCTAGCCCCTGCACCGTCTTGTGCGGCGTTCCTCAGGGTTTTGTCCTTGGTCCTCTCTTCAATATCCATATGCTCCCTCTTGGTGACATCATCCGCAGACATGGGGTCAACTTCCACGTCTATTCGGATGATACCAAACCGTATCTCTGCCTCTACCCTTGACTCCAGGACCACTGCTGTTCTGAGAGAATGTCTATCAGACATCAAGTCCTGATAAGAGTTAACTTTCTACAGTTGAACATCAACAACAACGAGGCCCTCCTTATTGGCGCCTGTCAGCGCCTCCACACCTCAGGCACTGACAGCATCACCATCTAAGGATCCACATACTTCAAGCTTACTAAGCCGGTCCGGAACCTTGGCATTTGTTTGACACTCAACTATCCTTTCTCCCCTATATCTGGGTCGTGTCCTGCTCTGCTTTCCCCCACTTCCGCAACATTGCCTCGCTCTGCCACTGTCACATCGCAGGCTCCCGAGACTGTCATACACACATAACATCTAGGCTCGACTACGCAAATACTCTGCTTGTCGTCCTCCCCAACTTCTCCCTCCATAGGCTGCAGATCATCCAGAATTAAGAACATAAGAATTAGGAGCAGGAGTAGGCCATTCGGCCCCTCGAACCTGCCCCGCCATTTGATAATATCATGGCTGATCTTCAGACCTAACTAAAGCCTGCCTTATCCCCATATCACCTAATCCTTCTGTTTTTTAAAAATCTAACAGTCAGCCTTGAAGATGTTCAAGGACTGAGCATCTACAGCCTTCTGGGGTAGTGAATTCCATAAATTCTGAAGTATGTGACCTTTCCCACACCAGGCTCCACGACCCTATCACCCCCCTCCTTGCCCGACTCCACTGACTTCCTATCACAGAGAATACAGATCCTGGTCCTCACCTTCAAAGCCCTCTATGGCCTTGCTTGCCCCTACCTCTGTGACCTAACCTACTACCATCCTGCCCATTCCCTCCGCTCAGTGGGTTCTGGCCTGCTTCACATCCCCTACTTTGTGCATCCCACTATTGGCGGAGTAGACCTTCTGTCACTCTACCCCCAACCTCTGGAACTCCATCCCAACAGTCCCTCCACCTCACCCCCTCGCTTCCTTCAAGACCTGGCTCGAGACCCTCTTCGACCGTGTCTTCAGTCACCCTCCTTCCCCCCGCCCCCACTCTGCACCCTCCCCGATCTTGACCCCCAGCTCGGATCCGAAACACTGATTGTTCAGCGCCTTGGGACGTTCTCCCAACACAAAAGGTGCTGTACAAATGTAATTTTGTTGAATCAGTTAATTTATGCTTGAGTGAATGTTAAGGTTAGGAATGTTTAATTTTTTGATGCTGCTTTATTAGCATTCAAACATTCACTAACTTCTATGTTTAGGCACTTGACATCTTTTATATTATTTCCCTTCCCCTCTTGAAGGTACCTTGGATTATTGTTGCACAATCTTGTTCAAGCAGTTTTTTTTTAAGACCAGATAGTGAGAGTATATATATATATATACACATCAAATGTTCCAGTAAAGGAATTACTGAATCTAAATAATTGTAAAATGTGTACTCTGCGTCCCCAAGGTTACTAAGGCCAATTTTGACACCAATGGCTCACATGCCTTGGTCGAAATCTGGTAAGCCATTGACCAAGAATAGAACTGGTTTCACTGGTCAGTGTGTTTAGCCAGTTTAGGTAGTACTATTGCTTCACTGGGCCATTTGGGGGAGCCCTTGTCACATTAAAAACTACCAAAACATCTTAAGTACTGTGGGGGCTGATTAACAGGTTTGATAATTAAACAATGTAGAACCAGCAATTTACCAATGATTTTATCAGTCCTCTCAAATTCAGAATGGTGTACTTAAAGTGCACTGCAATCTATATGTGTACATGGGATCTGGCTTATATTTGGTCTGCAGTACTAAAATCTTAAATGTGATATATATCAGCTCTCTCCCTTCTAAAAGCTTTGTATTAAATCCTATGAACTGCTCTAGTCGCATTTAAGAGGTTACATAATGGTTAACTTGGAAAAAAATCTCTAAGCCTTTGATTACAACTGGATTTAAATTGTTTCAAAAGTAGACTAATTCTACCTTAATGACTTCATTTTGTATTAATTCATAGAACTAATTTTGAAATTCACTACTGTAAATTTACTGTTTGGTATAATTTTTATGGGAAGGGAAAAAAGGACTTCTCACCCTCCTCCATTCCTTCTAACTTCCATCATCTGAGTGTTAATCAAGTTTGTATTGCGATTTGGCCAACGTTTTGCATCTTTCAAAAGAGAGCACTTTTGCTACCATTAATTCAAGATACAAACCATGTGCGTTTTGGTCCTGTTTACATACATTACTTTGTAACTAGGAATACTCTGGAATTTAAAATCATTATTAAATTATAATGACCTTGTTAACACTATCGTTTGTGTTTTTCTCACAAAAAGAGATGGTATCAGTTAGTTATGGATTTATTTCTGATGTGTTCTGGAAACCACTAAATTGCTCTAGGTTATTAAATTCAGCTAAAGTAAAACTTATTGAGTCAATTAAATTTTAAGGTCTTTCTTCATTTCCCTTTTTGTGGGCCCCTACCTGCCATATAATATTCTTAAGTGAGTGGCCTGCTCTGCTTCTCCTGTGGGATTGCAGCCTCTTCTCCCCAAATATGGAGAAACTCCTGCCCTCTGTTGAGCATCTTCCCACAACCACATAGCTGAAATGACCAAGTCCTGTTGTGGTTTAAATTGAGTGAGTATTTAGCTTCTAAATGCACAATGCTATCGTAAACTGCTAATAAGTCAGCTTTCTTGCATTTAATTATAGTTTAAATCTGTTTCGGTGAATATACTAAAACATTTTTCCTGTACTGTTTGAAAATGTTATTCAATAACATTTATATCTTGTACATGTACTTTTCAAAAACAAGACTGATTATTTGTCTAGTTCTTAATTCAACTGGGAACAAAATTGGGCTCCAAAAAATGTGTAGTTTTGAGTCTTATGTGCTGAGAAGCCTTTTTATTAAAAGCCAGATTATTAGCAAACAGATATGGATCACATCTAGTTTTTAGAATTTTAAAACTAGTAAGTGACTGTTCAACTGATATTTAATACTGTTAAGAGATTTTGTTATACACATGTTTACTTTGTATGCTTTCTGCATTACGCCACAGATAAGACCACATGTTCTGTCTTTTTTAAATTAAACATTTGAAGTGTGTATTTTTAATCTTTTGACAAGTTAAAAAACATAAGTGACTGTTTT